TTTTCTTTTTACCAGGCGTGGGCCATCCCCTGAATTCATAGGTGCCAAACATTCTTTTTCTTTAGTTTTCTTTGTTAAGGCCACACCAAGTTATTTCATTGTTTCTCGTCACCTGAAAATCTCAAAAGGAACGCGGGCGGGCGGAAAAAAAACAAAATAGGGTTTGAAAAACAAAAACTGCTATTTACACTACAAAGGCCCAATTTATGACCTAAAATCAGACTATACACCACGCGTGACAGTCAATTGCAACATACAGCCAGAAAACCAGGCTCCTGCACCGGCCTCTGGTGAGGAAGTCCAGTGTTGCATGTTATTTAAATAGGAAAGAAAGCAAACCAAAGTTATTATACAAGGGGTACATAAAAGAACAGCCAAGTGCGCGCTTGTGCTAAAATTTAAAACAGAAACCTTATGGGATAAGGCATGGCATGACATGACAAGTCCAGACAATGAATACAGCAGGCTCCAATGACAATGGAGCGAACAGTCACAACGTATGCCGGTATGCGTACATACACGGTGCAAAAGTCGTCCTTCGGTTCGTGCACTAGCACTGCACTCCAGATTTGACGCCGCGCGTACTTTTACAACGCCTTTTTATGCGTGTTTACCGGGACGCGAGATTTTTTTTTGGTCCAATCCTCAAGAAAGGTACGCGCGCGGTGACGAGAAACAATGAAAAAACTTGGTGTGGCCTAATATGATTTCTTTTTTTTCTTTTTCTTTTTACCAGGCGTGGGCCATCCCCTGAATTCATAGGTGCCAACTCTTTTTAATAATATGTGTAAAAAAAAAAAAAAAAAATGTTATGTACTATGCACTGTACTATGCACTGTACTATGCACTGTACTATGCACTGTACTATGCACTGTACTATGCACTGTACTATGCACTGTACGTCTTTTTTTTTTGAATGTTGACGTAGGTACGCGTTTCTCGAGCTCTGTAGTCTTCAGTGGATTTTCCAACTCCAACGTGCCTCTCCTGCAAACCAGCCGATGCAGAGTGCCACTTGTTGCCGGTGCAACGGCAACGGCACCTGTGTTCGGTGCGATTGCACGAAGGAGGGTCGGAAGTGTCGGAATTGTATCCCCTCGAAGAAGAACAAATGCCGGAACGGCTCCCCGACATCCCAACCGTCTTCTCAACCGTCGTCGACGACTACAGCTACCGTACCCGTAGGAACTGCACGAAACTCTGTTCGTGATACGGTAACGGACCACACTGTCAGCAGGACGTCGACAAGCTCCGACAACAGAGCAACCGCAGTTTCCGATACGACACTAGACTCCGTACCCGTACCAAACGTCTCGAATGTGCACAAGCCAGTAGTCACCGAGAGTGCAGCCGCAGTACTCACCACCACCCTACTTGCAGAGTGCAGAGACGGTCGTCACGGACCACCTCGCACAGCCCGGTCGAGCTCGCCTCCCGGTGCCAGTACTAGCAGTAGCACTGTAGTACCCGTACAGGTGCCGAACTCGCCTGACACCAATGGCAGTGCTGATGTCGAACCTGCCAGCCAAGCGCCTGAGCCAGCGGACGCGGAGCGTGCCACCGTGACCGTAGTGGACCTAGTTGACCTACCAGCGAGTGGGGACGTAGATCCACACGATGTCCGACTGCTAGCCACACTCAACATGTCCCAAGCAACAATGGACGTCGCAGATCCTGTTATCCCGGACCTGCCACCCCATCCTCCCCTGCGGGACCCCACACTCGGAATGGGAGATCTGGACGGTCCCACGTTTTCCAACCGGATATCCGAGGCGTACGAGAAGGTAGTTCATTTTGCCCCAAACCTGTTGGACGTACCAATGGGCAGCACGGGCCGAACCTTTATCCGTATGCTGAGTTCACACTTCCACGCCTTTGGTAACAACTCCTCAGGTGCAGCTGACTACGCCCTGAAAACGGCGATGGTAATGCAGCAGTTGCTCCTTCAGAAACCTGGCGGGACCGTAGCGGCAGCAGCTCACAAGGTTTGCATCGAGCGCCGCATTGCCTCGTGGGATTCCGGAGACGTACAGGTGCTACTCCAAGAATCCGTGACTATCCAAGACCAGATCGTCAAGGCCCGCAGGCGAAACGCACGGCACGAGGGACACACGGTCGACCCGGCACGCAGATTTGCGTCTGACATTGAGCGTGGCAGGCTCTCGGCAGCCACTCGTCAACTCTCCCCCGACATGGGTGGTGGAGTTCTTGATCTTGACGACACCATTGGAGAAACGACCGTGCTTGATGTGCTGCGCAGTAAGCACCCACAGGGCGAGGCAGTCACAGCAGCGGCTCTCCTCCCAGGGCAACCCCCAGCACAGCCCCACCCAGTGCTCTTCACCAAGCTGGACAGGACCGCTGTGCGCCAAGCTGCACTGCATACCACCGGTTCTGCAGGGCCGTCTGGGATGGACGCAGATGGCTGGAGGCGTATGTGCACAGCGTTTGGGGACATTTCAGACGACCTATGTGATGCTCTCGCCAGCTGTGCCCGGCGAATCGCCACTCAGTACGTCAACCCAGCATCGATGGAAGCCTACACGGCATGCCGGCTTATCCCTCTAGATAAGAAACCGGGTGTGCGCCCAATAGGCATCGGCGAAACCGTCCGTCGTATCATCGGCAAGGCTATTCTGAGCGTGGCGGGGGACTCTGTTCGTGAGGCGACAGGGTCACTGCAGATGTGCGGAGGCCAGGAATGTGGCATTGAGGCGGCCATTCACGCCATGCACGACACGTTCCATGAAGAAGACGTTGACGCTGTGCTTATGGCGGATGCATCCAATGCGTTCAATCGCCTTAACAGAGAAGCATGTATGCGCAACGTAGCGCACCTCTGTCCAGCCATCACACCCGCTATCGTAAACTGCTACCGTCAGCCGGCCCGCCTATTCGTGGACGGGGAGTGCCTCCTATCGCGAGAAGGCACAACGCAGGGAGATCCTCTTGCTATGCCGATGTACGCTTTGGGGGTACTCCCCCTGGTGCGCAGAGTGGCAACCCCAGGAACACGCCAGAGCTGGTATGCGGATGACTCGTCCGCGGGTGGCGGGCTCAACCCTCTCCGCCAGTGGTGGGACCGACTCGTCGGGGATGGGCCGGCGTTCGGGTATTTCATTAACCCCAGCAAGTCCGTCCTCGTCGTCAAGCGGGACAAGCTAGAGGCAGCCGAGACCATCTTCGCCGGCACGGGTGTGTCTATCACCACTGACGGGTGCCGTCACCTTGGATCAGCCATCGGAACTGATCAGTTTGTGCAGGAGTTTGTGGCTTCCAAGGTGGCCACCTGGTCGCAGGAGCTGTGCAAGCTGACAGATTTCGCCCGGTCACAGCCTCAAGCAGCTTACTCTGCACTGGTGAACAGCCTCCAACACCGGTGGTCCTTCCTGTGTCGGGTTCTCGATGGTGCTGCAGAACAGCTGGCACCCCTGGAGGACATCATCCACCGCCGCCTAATCCCTGCCATTAGTGGACGGACGGCGCCCAGTGAAGCTGAACGCATTTTGCTCACTTTCCCCTGCCGGCATGGAGGCCTCGGCGTGGCCAACCCTGCCACTTTTGGCTCACAGTACGGCACCTCCAGGCTAATCACCACTGCGCTGTACGACAAGATCATGGCGCAAGAAGAGCACCTCGATGATGCTCTTGCCTGTGTCCGCAGGGCCAAGAGTCAGGCTCGCTCTGAGGCCAGAAAGGCAATGAAGATAGCTGCCGATACGTTCCGCACCGAACACAGCGAACTCGATCTCGCTATCAGTCTGGCAGAGGAGAAGGGAGCATCAAGCTGGCTTACCTGCCGACCCATCGCTCGCCATGGCTTCGCTTTGTCGAAGGGGGAATTCCGGGATGGCCTCTGCCTCCGTTACGGTTGGACGCCTTCTCGCCTGCCCACCACCTGTGTTTGCGAGAAGGCATTCACCACTGCTCACGCCTTGTCCTGTCCTTTCGGTGGGTTCCCCTCGATCCGCCACAACGAGGTGCGCGACATACTGGCAAGCTCATTGAAGGGTGTCGCCCACAACGTCGCAGTGGAGCCACATCTCCAACCCCTGACTGGGGAGCAGTTTCAGCTCCGGTCAGCATCAACCGAGGATCAAGCTCGTTTGGATGTGGTGGCCAGTGGAGTTTGGGGGGGTCGGTTCGAACGCACTTTTATTGATGTACGGGTGTTCAACCCTTATGCGTCTTCGAACCGCACCTCCTCTCTCTCTGGCTGCTACCGGCACCATGAGCAAGAGAAACGGCGTCGATATGATCGGAGAGTCCGAGAAGTGGAGCGATCCACTTTTCTCCCCTTTGTGCTCTCTTCCACCGGAGGATGCGGCAAGGGTGCCGCTGCACTGGTGAGCCGGATTGCACATCTCCAGTCGCTACGTGGGAGGGAGGCGTATTCTGTGCTAATTGCCCACCTCCGCTGCAGGCTGTCTTTCGCCCTGCTGCGTTCGAGTGTCATGTGTCTGCGTGGGGCTCGCCGAGTTTGGCAGCCTCCAATGGATGGCTGTGCCTCCCTGGCTGTCGTGGAGGCTAGGATGTCCCTTTGAGCCTTGCCCCGTGATTGTGCGGACTATGCTATGCTTCTCTTGCTGTCTGATCACATGCGACGTCATCATTATGTGATTTGTTTTCAATCCTCCGCCATGGCAAATTGTGTTTTGTTCGCCCGTAAAAGAGGCTATAACTCATAAAAAAAAAAAAAAAAAAAAAAAAAAAACTATGCACTGTACTATGCACTGTACTATGCACTGTACTATGCACTGTACTATGCACTGTACTATGCACTGTCCTATGCACTGTACTATGCACTGTACTATGCACTGTACTATGCACTGTACTATGCACTGTACTATGCACTGTACTATGCACTGTACTATGCACTGTACTATGCACTGTACTATGCACTGTACTATGCACTGTACTATGCACTGTACTATGCACTGTACTATGCAGGTGTGCTGGTGTTTATATACTGTAATTTGAATGTTCACCTACCCCCGCAGGATATCGACCATTGTTTCAGTGGAATAGCTGGTATTACTGAAGAGATTCGTGGGTCTGATCTACCGGCAAGTGGTCCTCTTTGCACTCGTCTTATTCATAGCCATAAGTAAGTTGTGTGTGTGTACAGTAAGTGTGTGTGTGTGTGTGTGTGTGTGTGTGTGTGTGTGTGTGTGTGTGTGTGTGTGTGTGTGTGTGTGTGTGTGTGTGTGTGTGTGTGTGTGTGTGTGTGTGTGTGTGTGTGTGTGTGTGTGTGTGTGTGTGTGTGTGTGTGTGTGTGTGTGTGTGTGTGTGTGTGTGTGTGTGTGTGTGTGTGTGTGTGTGTGTGTGTGTGTGTGTGTGTGTGTGTGTGTGTGTGTGTGTGTGTGTGTGTGTGTGTGTGTGTGTGTGTGTGTGTGTGTGTGTGTGTGTGTGTGTGTGTGTGTGTGTGTGTGTGTGTGTGTGTGTGTGTGTGTGTGTGTGTGTGTGTGTGTGTGTGTGTGTGTGTGTGTGTGTGTGTGTGTGTGTGTGTGTGTGTGTGTGTGTGTGTGTGTGTGTGTGTGTGTGTGTGTGTGTGTGTGTGTGTGTGTGTGTGTGTGTGTGTGTGTGTGTGTGTGTGTGTGTGTGTGTGTGTGTGTGTGTGTGTGTGTGTGTGTGTGTGTGTGTGTGTGTGTGTGTGTGTGTGTGTGTGTGTGTGTGTGTGTGTGTGTGTGTGTGTGTGTGTGTGTGTGTGTGTGTGTGTGTGTGTGTGTGTGTGTGTGTGTGTGTGTGTGTGTGTGTGTGTGTGTGTGTGTGTGTGTGTGTGTGTGTGTGTGTGTGTGTGTGTGTGTGTATGCCACTGTGTGTATGTCACTTTGTGTGTGTAAGTTTGTGTGTGCCCGATTTCATTCGTTCATTCAGACTTTATTTGAAGGATTCTCCAAAAGTAAATGGATACTTATCACTGGAGTTTCTTGGAAGGGTGGATGGGATGAAAGGATTTCCAGCACGGGGAAATTAATTTTTAGTTGAATCTACTTGAGCCGTTGTTTGTCTTACACGGGTTATTTTCACTGCAGTCAAATGTGCTGGTCGTTTGAGCGCCTGCGAGTGGTGCGTGAGTACCGAACACCGCGCACTATTCGCGCCTTCACCAAGTTGATCATCTTCCTGCTGCCTCTATTGCTGTCACCATACTTTACTTTTCAGGCGGATAATGTAAGTGTTCCCGAAATGCTGGTAGGGTTCTGCCCCTAACCTTCTGGAACTGTCTGCGCATGCATTGTCCTTTAGATAGTTTGCAAACTACTACTCAAGGGCAACCATTCACACGCCAGGACGCTCGCTCAATCTACTGCGTTTGCCCACTCAATGGTGTCTTTGCTGCCATAACGTCCAGTTGCACCCAATGTTGTGGTGTAGCTAATCATCAGGTTTATGCAAGCAGATTTGTACTGCATCTAGGTCCTAAATAAATGAATGTACATGTATAGATGTACATGTACTGTGTGGACTGGAGAGGTAGGATCTGTCGCCGATGGAGTGCTCAGTGTACCAAGCACAAGCCTCTCTTTTTTTCTTTTCTTTTTTAAACTTTTGAGTACATATTGTGGTAAAGTGGAGCAATGCCTCGTTGTATCGCTGCATCTATCATGTAGCATGCATACAGTAATATTCCCGGACCTTTTGCACTTGGTTTCGAAGTCAACTTGGTGTGATATGTTCCTGGCTGGTAGAAAACCTCTTGCTATCAATGAAATGGTCTTTGGTGTTTGTTTGCTCTTCTGTTTTAGGCTAAAGCGAATTGGGTGGCGTACTATTTGTCCGTGATGGTGACAGTTCTGTATGGCTCCTTACAGACACTTCAGGATAATCTGGATGATCCTTTTGATGGCATCGGGGAGGACGATATCGAACTGGACACAGTATGTTGTGCTTCAAAGTATATAAGACTATAAGTATGCACTACTCCTCATTTACATTCAAAGTCATACTCGTATTTACGGGAAAGATCACCACATCGAAAACTACTTACGTTGTCTAATCACTGTAATCAGCTCTGAGGTTGAGAGGTGGTGCAGTGCAGTCTACATTTCTCGGACGGTAACGAAAATAATTCTACTAACTGCCTGCTGGTAAGGCCATCTAATATGGCATTCTGGTGAATGGGTATCTTCCGAAATCGGAGTTTTTTGTGAGGTGATAAAAACTTACTAAAAAGTAATAAATGGAGCAGGACATATTACTTGATGTCTAGAATACGCCTTACAAGTAGTCTGTACCGAGCCCTGTGCCTGGAAAGGTCTGGAAGGATTTCTAAAGCCTCTTGGGGCATATTTCAACTTTGGATTAATTGTTTGCATGTTGCCATGTTGCCATGTTGTGCAGCTGGATGAATGGACACGCAGATCACTGGGAGTTGTTGCATCCCCGAACCGAACTGCATCCGCCGCGGATGAGGTGGACGGCTGCCCAAATTGCTCCACTCCTTTCACCGCCACACCTGGTTGTACTGAAGACGACGTTGATCGCGTGTTTGATTGTCAGGGTGAACATGCTGATGGTGCTGTCAGCAATAACCTGACAGTTCCCGTGCAACCTTTGCTTGTCAACACTGCAGTTTAGTATCACCGGGTCGGATACAGACCATATCTACTATTACCGGTACCAAGAGTACATAAAGTTTATGTACTCTTGCCGGTACCCATGAGAGGCGTGTTGTCTACATGATGGTCATGTTGAAGTTCTGCAGATACAGTACTCGGTGCATTCTGCATCCACCCGTGTGCTACTTCTGGTCAGTTTAGGTTATCCACTTGCCCGATTTTTTACAATGTAGTCACTCCCATGAACCTACTTGAATATACAAATGTAGGTACTCTGTTGCATACTACCTTCTGCACTGATTGTGGATCATGAAAACTCGCACTCTATTTACACATTATGTATATTATAATAAATGTAGAGCCGGAGGATTTATTGCAATTACGTACCAGTATGCCAGTGCCACTCTACTCAAAACCTTCTTCTTGTAGGATATGATGTAGCAGCTACAGGTACTGTACGTACATCTGGCATTCGTAAAGCAGAAAAGGTTGTACATCTGACATTTGCTTGATTTTGCATGCAGGCCTATTCAGCATTTTTTAATGAACATCCCACCATTTCTTTCCAACCTGATATATAATTATCTATATTTATACACGACTTTTTTTAGGTGATTTGCCAGATGTGCATTGAGGTTTCAGCAAAATTGAATACTGCACTCATAAAATTAGATTTGTCATGATTGTATCTGTATATTCTAGGATTATTTCCGCCTTACCCTAGCGCTAGCCTTTTTCTGAGAATTCTATCATTAGGCAGATACCAAATTTTCTTTTTAGCTGTGTTTTAGTAGATCACGTATCCTTCTGCCTTTTGAGCAAAGAGATATTGAGCACCTTGTGAGCAGTGGAAATTTCCTACTATGTAGCAAAGATTTAATGTAGAAACTATCTGTACATTGTGCTGAGTAGGAATGGAGTGATTGCATGAGGTTCCGGGGTACGATTTTCCGTGCCAAAATCCGTGTGGGGCGCTACGGATTTTTTCGAGGTGCATGATTGTGCTCCATACGATTTTGGCACGGAGAATCCGTGTGGACTGGCTTTCATACGAACCATGTTTCGTATGGAGATTTTGCGTCATCGGGTGCAGAAAGATTTTCGCGTACAAATTTGGTACGAGAAACATCGATTTTCCGCAGGAAGTTTTGATTTCGGTACAAATTTTCAAAATAAAAAGGCATAGCACGGGAATGTGACGTGTTGCGATCGTAACCTAGGCAATGACGGCAAACACATAAGTTCCGTACTCCGGAACATTTCACTGCTCGAAAGCGACGTTATATAAATCCGTAGCGCCTCCACGGATTTTCACTTTTTGGCACGAAAAATCGTACTCCGGAACCTCTCTATTACAGTCGGGGAGTAGTACAATACGTATATTGTACTACTCCCTGATATTATTACAGCAGGGAGTCCCTTGTCAGCGGTCAAACTTCTTGGAATGCATTACTGTATTTGCTTCACAAAGAGTAGTTGGCACCCTGTTGCAGTGTTGGAAGGTAGAGGAGGGGTATAGGCCAGCTGCAGTTCTCACACTTCCAACTAACTGACAAGTTAGTTTCTGGGTGCTGCTGGCAAACACCATCCCCTCATGATGCGAAAGGCTCATACATGACAATACTTCATAAGGGAATGGTGTGCACCTGAGAGCTGTGCACACAAAACAAAATTGTAATAATCTGTTTTTTCTCCCAATGGTACACACAATCTGACCAGACCAGACTTCCATAAAATATCGTACTAAAAACTTGAGAATGTGTGACAAAAGAACAGGGACAGATACGCGCAAAACCTAAATACCCCTCCCTAGTACATGTGCAGCTATTGCAGCATTGCTATTGCACCTAGAACTGCTAAGGAGCTACAGTAGATTGCTAAACAAACTAAGGAGATTTACACACAGCTGGTGTGAGAGTACTGAGACAATAATACGTAGACATACTTCGATTGTGCAGACACAATAAAGAGAAAAGGAAAGAAGCATTGCACAGGTACTTGGGCCTTTAGCTACTCAAAGCAAACACCCACGCCCACTGCAGATCGTTAGTATCCAGATGAGGCAGAGTGATAGCAATGCCAGCAGACGGACCCTTGGCAAACTGCAATGCTCCCTCGTAGCCGACCAGTGTCACTGTCTTGGGCATGGTGGTCACAGAGCCGAGCAGCAGCTGGTGACTCGCTGGCCAGGACAGGCTAATGGCATACACAGTGGTCTTGTCTGAGCTTAGCGTGTACCATACATCACCGCTTACACTGTCATTCTGAGCTGTCCAAGGATGAGAGCCATATATGGCAGCACCATTGGTCTTCAGCCAAGCGCCCATCTGCAGTAGACGCTCCTGGAAGATTGGCTCAATTCGGCCATCTGCTGTTGGGCCAACATTGATGAGAATGTTTCCACCACAGCTGACAGTGACAACAATCTCGTTGATCAGTTGTTCAATAGAGAGGTAATTGCTAAGTGGCGATGTGCGGCAGAATCCCCACGAGCCCTTGTCCAGCGTCATAGCATTCTCCCACTTGTGATCGATCAAGTGTCCGGGATTGTAGCGGTCCTGGCATGTATAGTAACCACCGTGTTTGCAGCTCACTCCCTTGCCCCAGCGATCGTTCACCACCACTGTGTCCTTGACGGGACTGTCGTTGTACAGCCAGGCCAGGAAATTGGTACTATTCCAGTAAGTATCAGATGCCTCCCAGTCACCATCCGACCAGATCAACTCTGGCTCATACTGGTTGATGATCTCATGCAGCTCTGGACCTGTCTTATCCGCAACAAACTGATTTGTTGAAAAGCCATTTTTCTTATCATTCAAATAGATTGGATTGAACCACTCAAACAAAGAGTGATACAGGCCAAAGTGAAGCGATGGCTGCTTACGAACGGCCGTGGCTAGTTCACCAACCAAGTCACGGTGTGGCCCGGTGTCCATTGCATTCCAGTTCCAAGAACCTTTGGACGGCCAGAGAGTGAATCCTTCATGATGCTTACTGGTCAGAACAACATACCGGGCACCCGAGTCGGCAAATAACTGTGCCCATGCATCCGGATCCCACAGCTCAGCTTTCCACATTGGTGCAAAGTCGGAATATTTGAAATCGGGTGGGTACGAGCTATTCATGAACTGCACAAACTCTTTCTGCTGCTGCCCACGCCAGTACCACCAGAACCATTCTCCAGCCGTAGCACTGGACTGTGCTCCGAAGCTGGGTACACTGAAGACTCCCCAGTGCAGGAAAATACCCACTTTGCTTTCATCGTACCAACCAGGTAGAGGCCTAGAGTCCAGGGAATCCCATGTCGGTGCGTACGTTGATAAAACACTAGGCACACTACATCCAAGTAGTGCCACTAGGCTACCCACCACCAGAAACATATCAATTTACACAATGTCGTCTCTGACTCTTCTCGTGCTTCCAGCTGCACCACGTCAGCTTTTAGAGGTAAGCAGATCCGTCAGTCGCCTGCACAAGCCAAACTGAAGACTCTGTCGTGGCAAACAACACACTGCAGAGTTGGCCAGAATACGAGATCGAGGAAAAGGGTCAATCGTGGCACATTCGTACGTGAGCAACTCCTGACTTCATCAAGCTGTCACGAGACGCCGAGGGGATGGCCAGTGCTAGGGCGATCAAACCACAAGTCTAGCCGCGCCAACTCCAAAGTCCAAGTGCTTGGACAGCCAAGTCCGCAGACAGCAGTTCAAGGTATAGCCTGAGCTGGAAACGAGAGATAGAGCCTTGAGAATACAATCCTGACATGACATACACTTACTTATACATGTAATTTCAAAATTCTCAAGCTGCATGCGGCGTAGACAAAAAGACTTTTGAAATAAGCTTTTTGAATTTTTTTCCTTCGGGACTATAATTAACTCGTCCATAATCATGATAATTGCCATGAGCACAGCGGTTTACAACTTACTTTGGTGAATATCTTCCAAGAGCAAGATGAAGCCGCTGTTTTTCGTTAGTTGTGGTCTCTTGTTGATCTCCTTGGCAATATGCCAGGTGAGCTCTCGCTCTGCGGACAATGCCAGGTACGAACCAACGTGGAAGTCGCTGGACAACCGTCCTTTACCCGGTTGGTATGATGACAGTAAAGTGGGAATCTTTATCCACTGGGGTGTCTTCAGTGTACCTGCTCTGGGGGAGTGGTTCTGGGAGGAATGGAAAGGTCGCCACGAACCTGAATTTGTGAAGTATATGGATAAAAACTATCCTCCCGGATTTGAGTATGCTGACTTCGGACCAATGTTCAAGGCTGATTTGTGGAATCCTGATGAGTGGGCTGATCTGTTTGCGAAGTCAGGTGCAAAGTACATTGTGCTGACCAGTAAGCATCACGAAGGCTTCACATTATGGCCATCGGCAGAGTCGTGGAACTGGAATTCCATGGATACTGGTCCGCATCGTGACTTGGTGGGAGAGCTCGCGGCTGCAGTCCGCAAGCACCCCTCGTTACACTTCGGTCTGTATCATTCGCTGTTCGAGTGGTTCAATCCCATCTTTCTGCAAGATCAGAAGAACAACTTCACAACACAAAACTTTATCAGGGAGAAAACTGGGGCAGAGTTGTATGAGATCGTCAAGCAGTACAAACCTGACGTGATCTGGTCAGACGGTGATTGGTCAGCAGACTACAACTACTGGAACAGCACTCACTTCCTGGCTTGGCTCTACAATGACAGTCCCGTCAAGGACACTGTGGTTGTCAATGATCGCTGGGGTATTGGTTCAATGTGTCAGCATGGGGACTTCTTCACTTGCGCCGATCGCTACAACCCTGGACACTTGCTAACTCATAAGTGGGAGAATGCCATGAGCATTGACAAGAACTCCTGGGGTCTCGACCGGACAACTCAGTTCAAAGACTACCTCACTATTCAGGAGCTGATTAACGAGATTGTCATCACGGTCAGCTGCGGAGGGAATATTCTTGTCAACGTGGGGCCAGGATCCGACGGCCGCATCCTGCCAATTTTCCAGGAGCGCCTCCTGCAAATGGGTGCGTGGCTGGAAGTGAACGGTGAAGCAATTTATGGTTCACATCCCTGGTCAACACAGAACGACACGCGCTCTGGTAGTGTTTGGTACACACGTAACGAGGCTAACACCATTACATATGCTATTGCGCTAACATGGCCAGAAAGCGGACAGCTGGTCCTGGGCTCGGTTGCCATGGCACCAAGCCGCGTTACGTTGCTAGGTTACAACGGACCTGTTCACAGCACGCACTCATCAGCAAGCGGCCTCACCATCACTCTACCACAGCTCCCTGCTGCTGGAAAGCTGGAATGGGCCTGGACGTTCAAGCTCAGCTACACTCAAGATAATCTCACCAAGGACGACGCACATCGCGCACACGTCATTGTTTGAACACAACACATGCACGCATTAGAAGCATAGGTGATTTTTATACATTTATTATTATTTCACATTATTATTCACTTGAAACAGTGTGAGAATATCATAATTATTGATTATGTATATTTATCATAATTATGTTCTGTTCTGTTTTGAATAAAATAATATGTCGATTTTTCCAAGAAGTTAAATAGGTATTTTCCCTCTGAGGCGAAATCAAGGTGAAATCCAGCTGTGTTAGCAAATACACGAATTCTGTAACATCACAGAATGAGACGACCATGAAACGATAGCACCATGGCTTTCTGCATGGAACATAAATAGGATGTGCTGTTGAAAAATATTTGAAGAAATGAAACAAGAATGAGCTGGTTGCTGTAACGTTATGTAGCGGAAAGAAAGAAGGATTCTGAGCTATGCAGCAGTCAAAAGATCCAGAGGGATCTAGTAAAAGCAAAGAACAGAACCGGAGAAGGATCAGCACAAGAGTTGCGCCGAGTGGTGTTGCATATAGATGTCAATAAATAAAAGTCCCGTATCCATTGTAGGGCAGGCACGCTGGTGCATCTCTGCGCGTGCATACTGCTCAAAGCACAGTAGCAGTAGCAGCTGTATAGACTGACCGCTGCAGCTGCTCTACAGCAGCAGCAGGATGAAGAAGATCAGTAGGTTGTCACACTGCAAAGTTTGGGGTTGGATGAAATAAACTCGCGCAGCTTTGATGGATAGTCGGTGTGAACACCAACTGCTCCGAGTTTGTAAGCATGTTGGTAGTCTTTCTCTGAGTTCAAAACCCATAGAACAGTCTAGAGACAACAGAGACAGAGAGAACACATAGACGAGACAGCGGCCATAAGCCAAGCTCAGAAAAATGTACAATGTACAGATATCGCATGCAGAATGTCTACATAAACCGCGCATGCGCAATTACATGTTACAGACAAAACACAACTCACCGTTCAGGTCATTAATTTTTACAATGTCATAGAAATTGAAAGTCATTTACTTTATCTGAAGTACTACGGACTAGGATAAGACATACACCTGGCCACTACGTACAAATTTTATGGTGCCGATTTTTCCTCTCTAAAGCCTAGTTCACATTCGACGGGACGCGACGTAAGGATCGACGGGACGGTCTGACGGCGTCCAATGTAAACACCAGGAACGGGAATGCAACCGTACTACCGTACAGATCGGGAAGCGACGGGAAGAGTTCGATCGATTCAACTTTTCATACCATAGACGGGCGTAGACGGGGACGCAAGCGTACAAAACGGCTGAAATTTGAGTGTGAACAGGAGACGGCGTCGTGCGCCGACTACTCCCGATTCGTACTTGGAATTTTTTAGCATTCCGAACACTTCGCTTCCCATGATAACTCACAGAATGGCCAGCACGGCTCGAGTTGAATTTTAGCAAGATAAGATCTCATGTCACTTATCGTATTTAGGGATAGTTCGGGAGCGTGACAGACGAACTATTCTATCATTTCCTGGGGCTATTATTTGAATGCCACAACTTTCAGGGCTAATTTTTTGGACTACCGTAAAAGCAGAAATTTTCGGTGGTGTAATATTTTCGGTATTCTCCAAAATCGGCGGTTCGGTAGAGGGAAATTTTCGGTAAAACTCGTTCTCCAGGGAAGTGTACAAGTACTACATGTATACAGAATTGGTTGTACCGAAATTTTCGGTGCATTTTATTTTCGGTAAAAATGGTCGGCACCGAAGTTACCGAAAATAAAACACCACCGAAAATTTCTGCTTTTACAGTACATGAAAAACTGGTATTGTGAACTTGATTCCGCTTCTTTCAAGGAGAAATAATTGAAAAGAAGTCCCGAAAACGTGAAATTAGGTCCGAAAGTCAGCCCGTCACGGACATTGCCTTATGACTTGCGCCATTCGACGTCCACCACCACCACCACCAAATCCCAATGACCCAGTGTTACAACAAAAATTAAAAACCCAAATCGTCGTATTGAACAGCAGTAATCCTTGCAAAAGCAAGGGTGGCTGACAGTGACGGGGGTTGTGAGGAACATGACAAGACACTTACTCGTATTCCTCGGCGTTCAAGGAATGAGATGTAAGGCCTGCTTAGTGTGAACCTGCATACACCAAAGCACAACAATGATACATCTGTGAGAACGAGTACCTGACTACTTATGTGCAGCATCAACTTTCTCATGCCATGCAAGACAACTCAAGAAGCTTCGATGTACATCAACTTGCATTATCACACGACATGAACACAAGCGACACGGAGGAAATACTCGTGCTGTGATCACATTGAGTAGAGCAGAAGATGACGAAGAGAAGCCCAGCATCCATTTATTCTACTTGTATATGACTACCACTAACCACACCCATGGACCATCAGAAACATTGCACTTGAACTACATGCACAGCGTGAGGACACATCATATAATTATAACTCCAAACTCACTTCTCTGCCAAAAAACTCAGCAAGGGGCCGAACACTTTCATCAACCAGCCATTCTTAAATTGTCGCCTGCACACAAATCATGAACCAAGAAGCATTAAACCACCACTCTCAACTAATTTACAACATTACAATATGCACATGCTACAGCGCAATGCTGGAGAATTCAACCCCACCATGATCACAGAACAGCATGGTAAGAAGAAGAAAGGAAATGTGCACCTACTGGAAAAAGAGCAAACTTAAACAAGGAAAACGTTACCCGACACCCAGGAAGACACAGAACTGTCAGCACTTCAATGATGGTACCTAGGACTTAGGACGTGTTTGGTTGGTGCAACCTAGAACAGGATTCACCAGAACACCGCGTTTGGTTGGGATTGCACCTGTTCTGGATGGGCCAGAACATGTTCTTCTTGCTCCAGCATATGACCCAGGAAATTGGCCCAAGGAGAAAGTATCGAACCAAAAAGCAATGGCCTAAAACATATGCCCACAACCAGCGACGTACCCAAGGAAGATAGAAGGTAGCGCCGTTTCATAGATGGCTGCCTGAATAGGTAGGAATGCCAGAAGTCCAGTCCAGAAGAGGATGGGATAAAGGAACACTTGGTGCTTGGAAAAGTACAGAGGAATGCTGGAGTCCTGGTGAAATACATAGAAACAATACACAGCCACACACACAACATCTATAGATAAGACATAGGGGACACAGATGCGGCCGCTGGTAGATTAGGTAGATGATGGAGAGAGAGAGAGAGAGAGAGAGAAAGAGAGAGAGAGAGAGAGAGAGAGAGAGAGAGAGAGAGAAAGAAAGATAGAGAGAGAGAGACAGCTACAAAAGTATGTATCTCAAACAGTGCTATAACATTACACAATAAAACCATACGAGTCAACACAGGTGTGCGGGTATGTGCGTACATGTGTGTGTATGTTTGCATGCCAGCTAATTCGGTTGGTGGGTGCACTTATGGCAGATAGCGTTGGGTATGTTGCCAACAGGCTCGACAGCTAGAAGGTGTAATGTTGTACCTGCCACCTTTGTTGGTTTCAGGGTTCATATACTTTCTATTTCAAGTATACATACTGTATAGCAGGAAATTTTCGGACGGAATTTATTTTCGTACGATTTCGTACACGGCTTCTTTTGTACTAAAATTAATTCCGTACTAAAATTTGTTTATGTGAAATTATGTACATCATACATATGCGTACTACATGCAAACACGTGTATTTAGCATGCAGCACTGTACGAAAATATAATCCGTACGAAAGGTCGAAATTTGGCTTTGTCCGAAAATATTTCCGTCCGAAAATTTCCTGCTATACAGTACCTGTTAACCATGGACTGCTTCTGGCTAGATTAACTCTTGTGTACTCAATGGTGCTAGTGAAGCTTATATCAGATCCACTCTGATTTGGCCACCCACACTAGCAGCAAGTATTACCTTCACTGGGGGCAGGGGAACTGCAGTTGGACCCCGGGACGAATACCCTGATGCTGTCAATCCTTTTTCTGCACCTCGTCCTCACTCACTTACTGAGGTGTGGTGAGCCCATAAGCGGGATCATTTCCAAGTCCACCCAGAGTTTGGGGATTTCAGGGGGTGTCGACCGATGGGCGGATCAATAGCCAATTGAGTCATCTTTCCAAGATTCCTTTTGAGTCTCTCTCCCCTCCCCCGGGGAGACCCACGCGACCAGTTTTGGCAGTGAGCAACAAGTATGTTTGTGTTTATGTGCAAGCGTGCATGCATGCGCGCACGTGTGTGTGTGTGTGTGTCTGGAAGGGTACACAGGATGTAACCCAATCACCATCAGGTGAATCATCTTCCTTCAAAAAGTTCAAACACGATGTACTGTCGTGGACATGGAAATTCCGGCCGGAGGTCAAGCGGCCTCAGGGCGCTGGCCATGCAGCCGCGAGTACGCATACGATTAACACGCGCACTGCATGCAACGTTCTGTACGCACTGAGGGCGCCGGCCCCGCGTCATTCGACCAGATTCCATGTCCACGACAGTACATGTGCACGTACATGCATGTGTTCGTGCATGGCAAAACAGCTCACTTGTTAAACACGGAAAGTTACATGTTATAGTTGAGTACATGTACATGATTGTGTGTATAGACTAGAGTAACAGAAATGACCAACATCAGCTATTCCACACTAGTATATTATCAAGAGTACATGAAAACCAGAGTGTGCAGCTCGGATGGGTTGCTGTCACGGCGGAATTCCGTGATTACATCATTTTAGCGATGTAGTGCGTACAAGCAGGATTCAAGCAGGTCTCTTTCTGCACAACTGCAGCTCAGTTGTACGCACTACGCCATTTCCCGCCTCAGATCTGCGCCAAAAATGATGTAATTACGGAATTCCGCCGTGACAGACACCCATAGCAGAAAAGGTCCCAAGCTGCACACTCTGGTTTTCATGTACTCTTGATATTAAGCATTAGCTTACATAACTGTGGCAGAGTCTCCACACGTGTATGTTGGACGAGCCCCACGGAGTGATCTTTTCACGCTTGAATTCGTGGATTAAAGCGGCCGTCTGTGAGCAGCAAGCACGCACAACACAACAGTAGAGACCGTGAACACATGCAATTGCCACAATCGACCACGTCTCGGGTCAATATCCTGTACATATGAATAGTCGTCGGCGGAATAGCGCGAGCTCCAGTGTGGGAGCAAACCCATTCCTAAACAAAATCATCGCCGAAGTCGCAACCTCTACTTCGTACATATGAATAGTCGAGAAAATGCAACAACCTGCTAGAAACACGAGCAATAATCACATAGCGGCAATAGATGTGTTGTGTGAGAGGGCATGGCAGACCGCTGACAAAATGACATAACAATCAGCATGTTCTACGCCAACACATGCACTGTACACTATCACACAAATACACCTACCTTGGCTATTAACTCGTCAGATGCATTCTTCAGGTCAATATTTATGGCAACTTTGGGAAGCTCTTTCATCACATCACGAAGAAGAGGAATGTTGCGGTCCTCGCAAACCTTCTCACAAACGCCATCTACAGAAGAAAAACAACAAGGCGAATGGGATGTGCTGCACCTATTATATTTCCAAATAAAACACACTTTTATTACGCACAGGTTGCGTTCAGTAACGTAATGTATGTTCATGTTGTGTTCATTAGGTACACAAAGCAACGCCTAAAGTGCTCTGTTCATGTGCGGTGTGACATGAGCAGTACACCTGGCACGCACACCAGATCAGACAACCGAGGCCTTCATCCGGTGTTTCAAGCGCTTTGTGTCCAGATTTGGAATGCCAAAACAAACAAAGAAACACTGTTCAAAAAAGGTTGTTGGCAGGTCGAAGGTGACGTATGAAGAGTCAATGCCGGTTCTCATGGAGATTGAGGCGGTTCTTAATTACGGCTGGTTTTGTTATTTCCTGGAGATAGGATGAATTAGCTTATTCTTATCAGGGAGTAGTACTCAGTACAATACTTACTGTAAATCAATCATGTTTCGTAGTCATTTAAAGTTTATGTACTCTTGGTAAAAAAAATCATGTACCGTAAACAGCCTAGTGTTTGCTAATTTTGCGAGAAGAGCATAACGCAAATATTAACCATCACTAAATCAAACTTCAACAGTGGGTGTATATGCGAGGCCATGATGCTCCGCGAACATTTGCCGTCGTAAACTCGCTGGTTCTGAGAGATTGCAAACATTTAGTGACGTAAACATTGGGCAGTTTACAGTACACTTCTCTCTTCATTAGGTACAGTTAGCATTCATGATGTACATGTAGCATTCATGATGTACAGTTAGTATTCATGATGTACAGGTGGAGCTCATTATGTACAGGTGGCGGGGAAGAGACACTGAAGTAAAAACATATCCGTACCGGCAAAGTAGAGTGGAAGGTGTTGCTTCAGCAATGGCAAATCCTGCACAATACCAAGCACACGCACACACACATGCACAGTGACACACACACACACATGCACAGTGACACACACATGCACAGTGACACACACACACACACACACACACACACACACACACACACACACACACACACACAGTAACACACACACACACAGTAACACACAGTAACACACACACACACACACACACAGTAACACACACACACAGTCACACACACACAGTAACACACACACAGTAACACACACACACACACCACCACCACCACCACCACCAGCAGCAGCAGCAGCAGCAGCAGCAGGATTGCATTCGAAAAAGACAAAAAAAAGGGTTTACATGATTCATTGACTTCGAGTCTAAGCATAGTCCCGAGTGACAAACCAACTGGACTATGCCCTTCAACCAACTGGACTATGCCCTTCAACCAACTGGACTATGCCCTTCAGGGGATTTTGATGCCTCTGCTGTGCAAAGTGTATACACATGCCGTAGCGTCAGAATCCTTTCGGAAATCCTGGTGTAGGAGTACACTCAAAATCTGTATGGTTCAGGTGTCTGTGAAATATGCTATTACTCTATAAGAGAAGTACATAGGCTTGCGCATATACCCATGCGGGTGGCCTACATTCTCTGGGCATTCCATGGCCAAGGCAATGTAAGCAAAACAATGACAACATACACACACATAGTGACATACACTCGCACACCCACACTCACACCCACGCACACACAAACACTTACACACACACACACACACTCACACCCGTATCCACACCCACGCACACACAAACACTTACACACACACCCACACTCATACCCATATCCACACCCACGCACACACAAACACTTACACACACACACACTCACACCCGTATCCACACCCACGCACACACAAACACTTACACACACACCCACACTCATACCCATATCCACACCCACGCACACACAATCTGTTAGCAACACTTACAGCAAAGTCCGTGTCTGGAATGGTAGCATTCACGCCTGTTGACCGAAGCAAGTTGCTGTCATGGGCCACGACAACCTGTGAGAACAACACATGATAGGGAGCACGCCTTGCAATGTGTCTGCCAATCTCCAACAACAAGATAACAGAATACATGTAGCCAGATCAAGCAGCAACAGATACGTGACATATGCCATTAGCGACGACTGCTTTGGTTTGGGCACGTTATCAGGGAGGGACCAGAGGCATTGTCACACCAACCCATGGACATGGCCTTCAACATTGAAGATATTTAAAAAAAGACACGCGGACGTCCACCAACCAAATGGACCGACATTATGAAGCAAGACCTGAAGAAAAGAAAACCAACATCACTGTCGCTGAAATCGTTGTCTTAGCCGAAAATAAACATGAATGGAACCGTTTCACTCACTGATGCGTAGAGCTCAATTCTGAGTAATGTGCGAGCTGTTCTTCTTTTTCTTATTATTATGTAGTCTCATATAGAAGAAAAGCAGCGTGCATGGCAGTTCATGCTAACGTAAGCATCAGGAACACACCAGCCAGCCATACCTAGCCATGTGTTCACCATTGCTTTCATGAGAAGTTCAGGTAAGAATGGACAATAATTATTGATAACTACATTGTACTATTTTAGAATTAGGGCCACACTAAAAAGGTTTGAGTTTTCTCCTTGATCTAAAATCCATTGAATTTGAAATTTTAGAACCGCAATCAATAAGACAAGCTGAATCGACATTTGTGTATACTTTATTCACGCAGTTTAAAAACGGTGGAGACAATGTGCATTAAAACAATGAAGGTAAGAAGAAATAGTGAAGAGAACAAGTAGGATTCGCACAAGCACATGGCCGGCCATGCAAAACGATGCCAACAACATCACTGCCGCAACAAGCACCATCTATGTCAACGGCTACCACACCAACACCAACAACGGAGACCACAACAACCACAGCTAACCAACCATGCAATGCAACCATTAACAGCCAACTGCAACAGATGTTACACATCGAGCACATGAGGGCGAGTCATTGATGGACCAGACAACATGTCGTCAGCCAAGTCAAGCAAGGTGGAGCATTCCGAGACGGACAGAGTAAACATGGAATCGGCAGAGGACGCGGATGATGGAGTGGATGGTGGTCAATCCAGTGAGGAGTCGGGGAGCGAGGAGGAGAATGGTCAGGAGAGTGGAGGTGAGAGTCATTGCGCTGTACGCAATTTTCGTAGCAGAACATCTTCAGTGTACAGTCATCTTGTGGCTAGTCCTGATTGTTGCAATTTGTATTCTGATTCTTGCTTCACCGTATCTTGCCGTGGTCGTCATGAATATGGTATACAGTTAAAAGTGTTGGAAGCCATTTATCACCGTCTGTATAAACCCAATTTATGCGTACAGAAAGATAGTATTATTACGTTGAAATTCTTCAAGTAACATGTTGTGTCTAGTCTGGCCAAGCACGGGTGTTGGTGGTCTAGGTGAAACGTTTTGCTGTTCGTATTAGCACTTTGTCCTCTTTGATTTGCAAGTTAATTGTTAACACACGCATTGGTGTTTGCTCTTGCCTTTCCTGTTACAATTCACACTTGTATTACTTTAGTGCTGTAGTTTTAGGTGTCATATCTCTTTCTTTGGTTTTCTATACAAGTAATAGTGTTGCAATGTCCTTTAGCACAACGAAGATTCCCGACGAGTGTTGTACGAAAATTTGTTCGAATCCTAATGGCTCACAGATGGAGAGCCAAGGATAAATTTATAGAAAAGAAAAGGACCAAGAAACTACAAGTTACGCTATAATGCACCACCAGTTACTGAACAATCAGCTCATGCGATAACATTGCACGACACTGCCAGACGGTACGGATGTTCTACAACTAGCTGGCTATCAGCTCTAGCACATCTCGGATGCGCACTCCAACGGCCTTCCTACTTGACAACTTGAACTTGATAACTTAGAACCTTCCAAGTTGGCATGGAAGGCTGTTGGAGAGTGCATCCAAGATGTGCTAGAGCTGATAGCCAGTTAGTTGTGGAACGTCGGTACCGTCCGTTAGTGTCGTGCAATGATATCGCATGAGCTGATTGTTCAGTAACTGGTGGTGTTAGTGGACAGTATAGCGTAACTTGCAGTTCCTTGGTCCTTTTCTTTCCTAATTGTTCTCTTTACTATTTCTTCCTACTTTCATCGTTTTATTGCACATTGTCTCCACCGTTTTTACACTGCATGAATAAAGTATACACACATGTCAATTCAGCTTGTCTTATTGATTGCGCTTCTAAAATTGTGGTCTCCTCGGCGTTTATTGAAATTGAATCTTTCATAACTTGAGGGAATGGAAATTTGTTAGTCACACTGCCTTGGGGCTTCCAGTTTCCAGTATCAAAATGCACATTGCTGTCTGCCCACATACTGTAACTAGTGATTGTTAGCAGCCACGATTGGTCTTGATACGGGTTATCTTTGACACAGTGGCGTCAGACTTCTTTCTTTCCAATTCGAGCACTGCAGTTCACATTCCGTTGACAAGCTTCATTCGTATGTATCTGATGATTTTCACCAGTTCTCAGTCTGTCACATCCACGAAATTTGTTTTGGCGTGCCTTAAAAAATGTTTAGTTTCGAACCTTTCACAAATGTTGCAAATTTCACATTGAAAGTGAGCTTCCATTGGTAAAAAATACACATACATTTAAAAAAGTACAATTGCAAATCGTATAAATTCAATACCACAAGAGATCTACATGCACACCACATCTTCAGTTCAGCTCTATGTAGTTAAAAGAAATTTGGCATCTCCGCTGCAGCTGAAAATTAATGTGGAAATACCTGCAAAACATACCTGACCATCTTTTGTAAGTTGAACGTCCAGTTCTAGCATATCAGCATTGCAGCCCTCAACAGCCCTGCATGAACATGGTCATGGATGCAGCATAGAAAGCAATTTAGTCACCATGGTCACAGTCACCATGGTCACAGGCCAGGATGAGATGAAAAAATGGGCAACAGGACAAGCAGCACACACCAAAGGATCAAAGTACTCTAGTTTCAGAATTTTTCGGTGCTCAATATTTTCGGTATGAGGGCAAAAGGACACAGAAACAGAACAGAAATTTTAGGTACAGAGAAGCAGTTCCCTATTGAATTACAGTGCGTATCGGTTATAGTGTGGTCGTATACAAGAATATACTGCCTACAAGAATGACCACTCATTTTTTCATAATCATAACACCTATTTTATGTGTATTTTTATTCTTACAAGCAGTATTATCGCATAGTAGAATATATCGGCCCTAAGAATGGATTTTGTGTAGCAAAATATGACAGATTAGTGCAAAGTGTATCGCCTGTAGTAATAACATCTGTGCTCTGTGCATGCTCAATACAATAATATTCAACACAAAACTGAGAGAGTTATGTCCAACTGAGCATTGTAGAACCACTTTTTCTGTCCAGTCGGACTCTTTCTTCCGACTTCTCTCCTATCTGCTGCTCCGCAGTCGCTAGTCGCCTAGCACGACCGCGAGTCTGATCCGTGTGTATCATGATTGTGTAGACCTACATGATTGTACGTGTCCACATGCCAAACATGTATTATGTCACACGTGATTTATCGTGTGTAAGAAATATCGGCAATAAGAATCAAATGTCGTTTTTCAAACACCCACGCTATAACCGATACCTACTGTATGTGTGTTAGTGTTAGTTCGGTGTATTGAAATTTTAGGTATGAAACAGATACACCGAAAGCACCAAAAATAAAAGTACACCGAAAATTTGTGAAATTACAGTATTTGAGGTACTTGAAGTACAACTCCACTGGCTGCACAGGACGAGTGATTGGTGCAGCCATGCACATTACATGTACTACTGAATGAGCAAAATGTTCTCGTCGGTTGGCAATCTTGTGCCTGCAAGTTTTAACCCATTTTTGGGCATGCTGGGTATGATTGGCGTCATAATGAATGAGAGTCAACAGCAGTTTTCGTTTAATGTGAAGACATGGGTCTGGCAGACTGGTACCGCACTTGCACAGCCCTTGATATCCAGTTGCAACCCTGGTTATGTCATCTTGCAGGCTCGCAGCTAATATCTAGACGAAGTGAGATGCTGCATATACAAATGGCTCTCCTATTGGGCAACATTACTCCCAGAGGCAGTAAGTATTGACAAGAAGAGAGAAGAGAGAAGAGAAGAAAGAGCAGGAAAACAACACACCCAAGGCTCCCAAACACACACCCACCCACTCACACCCACTCACCCACCCACCCACCCACACGCACGCACACACACACACACACACACACACACGCACACACTCAGCGACACACACACACTCACCCGCCCACAGCCACATGTGCACACCCTCACACACCCAGACACCCTCATACACAAACCATACCATTTGAATGCAGATAAGGTATTCTCAAGGTTCTCACCGGCACCTACAAGACACAGGAAGAAAACAAGATTTATCTGAGCACAGCTGTCACTGACTACATGCTGGTATATACTAGTCTTGTATATATGTGTGGGGGGGGGGGGGAAGAGAGAGAGAGAGAGAGAGAGAGAGAGAGAGAGAGAGAGAGAGAGAGAGAGAGAGAGAGAGAGAGAGAGAGAGAGAGAGAGAGAGAGAGAGAGAGTTGTGAATGCTGCTTATATATGATTCAGTGTTGAGCAGTGAAACCAGCCGGGTCAGTTGATCATAGCAGTTAACCTGATATAAACTAAGATGTCATGTCAGACAATACTCAAATACAATGCACAGGTGTACAAGTACTTCGAAGTACAACAGTGCGCATCGCCTATCGCGTTGGTCTTTGATTGTGAGCATGTCTCATTACTACAAGCAACATCACTATGACCGATACTACATGTACTGTATGCAAGTGGGCTATCAAAAAGACTCAGCGACTCGGCATGCAGTCCACAGACGCACTGCATATTTGGTTATAGCGTTGATGTACATGTGTACACACGCGTGCACAGTACATATTGTACTTGTTCAAGATTGGACATTATACTCGGACTTTTACATCACATGGACACAGTTCTTTCTCTCTACAAGATCTCTGACACCACTTGAAAGTTGAAATACAACAATAACTTTATCTGGTGCAAAAATGATGTAGCAAAGGTCTTCATGTACCGTAAAGTACCGTTGATCCGCCCCCTGTCGATTTTCTACTTCTGAAGCGACTTCGGCGTATACAACGAAATACGATGTTGAACCGACGCATGGACTGCTGTACACAATACGTGCCAATCCAGGATGAAAATGTGCACAGTTCAGCACATCGAGCCTGATCCTCCACGTTGTTGTACATCGTACTGCACTTGACAACCTTGATCTAATTCCCGCCCCCTGCCAAAAACCCAGCTGGGAAGCGACATGGCGTGGGGGCGGATCAACGGTATTTTACGGTACATGTGTATACGTCATTGAAAATGACGCCTCGGTGCTGAGGACGTATATTATCATACGTCTTTTTCAATGCCAAATAAGGAGTGCAGAACAATACTATCCTTCTGGACACAACCATTTGATACCGGTACTTTGACAACTACATGTATAGGCGATATTATTACTATAGACGACTATTACTATACACGATGACTGTGTATACTTGTAAGAAAGGGTTTGCTCCCCACACCGGAGCTCGCGCTATTCCGCCGACTTTACTTGACACTTGACTGACTCACGACTGCCATCCAGAGCACACGAGAAGTCCATCGAACCTTCGACTCGGCAAACCTGCGAGAAAGCACCACTCCCTGCTCAATACACAGTGTTTCGGGGAATTCACCCCTCATCAGTTGAGCTTGAGTAGGCTGAGGAAGATTGTGCCTGAAGAGCACCACTTATATAGTGCTCTCCAGGCACAAACATCACCAGGGATACAAACTTACAGAGACGCTCCGTTTCCAGCGCGACAAACACCTCGTGAACACCAGATAGCAGCGTGAGTCAGTGTCGCTCCTGGACGGTGAGACAGACGTCGAGGACCCTCGGTCATTCGCAACGCTGTCACCTCCAAACCAACTAGTCGCAAGCCCGCGCTGGGCACAACAGTACGAAGTAGTGGTTGCGACTTCGGCGATGACTTGTAAGAAAGGGTTTGCTCCCCACACCGGAGCTCGCGCTATTCCGCCGACTTTACTTGACACTTGACTGACTCACGACTGCCATCGCCGAAGTCGCAACCACTACTTCGTACTGTGTATACTTAGTATAGAAAATAAAAATGAATTTGAAAATTGATCACTGTAGCCAGTATATTGCTACAGCCGCCAACCCTATAGGCGATACGCACTGTATATTCATGTCTCAATGGTCCGGGATCAGGCACTGTCATCAAGTAACGATTAAACCTGCGTGTATAATAAGTGAACTTTACAGACAAGCAAGTAGGAGAGTGCCTCATTCCACAAGGCAGAGGTTCTGCACACTGTGAGGAGAGGGACAACTGCAATGCTAAATGATGCGGGTTTCGCTGCCTGTTCCATTCACCCTCGGGGCAGGGCCGATTTATCCGTGCTCACTAGTGTCAGACCAAATTTGCTCGACCGACATCGATATTTTGCCGCAAAATTTTGCTTTCATTTTGCCAGGTCAACTTGATATTTTGCTACCTTTTTTGCTCAAATTTGAGGCAAAAATGCGCGTCACGTGTTTGAAAAATTGCCAAAAGTGGGTCACGTGCACCGTACAAGTTGTATATGCGCAATAAATTTGGAGAGAAACATCGATATTTTGCTCGAAGAATTGCTAGCAAATTTGGTCTGACCCTAGTGCTCACATACAGCATCACTGGGCTGGGTCGCCTTAGGGGTCAGCAGATCAAGGCCGCAATCATGAGTTGCATAGACTGATTATGTAGGGGTGTTTGACATGCTGGAAACGGAGCCTGGATAACACTATAAAAGTGTTGCTCTTTAGGCAAAATTTCCTCGGCCTACTCAAAGCTCAACTGATGAGGGATGAATTGAAGCATTGAATTCCCCTAAACTCTGAGTATTGAGCAGGGGTGGGTGCTTTCTGTTCTCATGTGCTCTGGATGGTAGTTGTGAGTCGGCCATGTGTCAAGTCAGATCGGCAGGATAAGTGCGAGCTCTAACGTAGCGAGCAGCCAACTTTCCTAAAACTTCAGAATTTCAGAGAACAAACAAAAGGGGCTTGACCTCACCTCCACGGTGCGCCGTCAGTTGTACAGAGAATCCAAGCTTTTTCTTCTTGTGAATCAGATGAGGTAGGCAGGTAAATAGCAAACTGAGGGACGCATATACTGCCACTACCCCTAGGCCAATGGCCAAGTAGAGGGTGTTCTCAACCATGTCCCCTTCCTATAGGCACAACAGTCAACAAAGTAGAAGAATGCCACAGGATATCGACATTTACAAAGTACCGTATCTACTGAACTCAACTCTGCACCCCAGGAAAGACTACTGGTCATGTAGACAATTTCATTTGTTCACCCTCAGAAACGAAGACGCAAATTGAAGAAAAAAAAGGTTCAATGTCAGAATGGAAGTGAAACAGTCTGTGTTGACACTGACCTTCACTCACGTCACATTCACGAGGACTTTAGACACCTCCAACAGAAGGATGGAGAATGAACTGCATGTACGGTTCTAGTACTCAGGACATGACAACACTGCAGTCCTGGCCTTGTGTTCGGCTGCAAGTAAAAGGACAGAGTTGTGACAGTTTTCTCAACATAACAAGCTGTCTTGTTCGGTGCTCCTGAAACAAAGAATTTCTTCAGTCCAGAAGTCAGGACGCGTGATTTGGCCTTCCAGGTCCCAAGCGCAGCTAGCAACAGATCTAGATGTCCCTAAAAGGGCCGTGGAAGGGAGATGAAATAACGCGGACTTTTTGGTGTGTGTAGCACTTACCGGATTTTCTGTTCCTTTTTCTTATTTTCGTGATCCCGCTGTTTGGTTTTCTGCAAACATTATTATTTCGGACTTGTTTGTTTGAATGTTTCAACAATTTCCCTCCCATATGCATAATATTATAGCACGTATACATAATGTGTACGGTATGGCGTACTGAGACGTACAACTCGTGAGTCGTGTATGACCGAAGATTCCCCACTCCGAGGGGAAACTCCCCGCATCATGAAAGCTAGCAGCAATCGGCCCAGCATGATCGCACACACCGTCACGTACATGCTGTCATGCACACTGAACGCGGAGCATGTAATGTATGATGTAGCAGCATGCATGCATGCCACACTGTCTACGTCTGTGTGTGTGTAGTGTAGACTGCACATGCATCTGGCGGGAACGCTTTTCGTCATTTGTCATTTGAACGACGTGGATGGTGTTGAACGACGTGGTTGGCCACAGCACCGATGTATAGTAGTTGTCGGTATGGTGGTGACGAAGGACTCTGCTTTAGTTCACTGATACTGGCTCTGTACAAGTCGTTGCGTTCCTATCCTAGTACTGTACTGAAGTTATCGGCGTTGGGGATACCAACCGTCAACCCTCTTACACACGTAGGTATCGTGTCTTATAATGCAGCCTATTCGTGTGCAGGGTGAGTCCAGCGCGGCTCATCTTCACTATTTACCTTGCTCCATTGACTCGAATGGAGAAGCTCCTGTGAAGCAGTATCTAGAATCGACCATTCGTTCACGAAATGGAGTGCAGGGAAGCTATGAAGCAGCTACGTTCCGAGGAAGGCCATTGGCTGGACAAGAAGTACAGGTGCCCAGTGGATATGGCGGCGTAGTATTACACGAGGAGAAGAAGCCCGTTACTGATGTGGAAGAAAGACAATTTACTGCCACGCATCATTTCAGTGAATTCCATTACTGGAACTTAGAGACAGTGCCCAGTGGTAATGATAAACTCGTCCAAGCTATACAGTGGGTTGATGTGGCAGGAGCAATTCATAAACCGGTTAAACTGTCTGAAGAGTGATGTCGACCTTGCAGTGGATTGATGACCGTGTGCAGGTCTTGAGAACTGGGTATGATGTTGGAAATTCTCGTTCCATGGACCCCGGATAAACATTGATAAGCCAGCCGTAACCTCAGTCAGGTGTCGAGTATGACGAACTGATTCAGTGCAATCCCGCAATGAATTTTTTGAGGACAATACCAATAGGCCCATATATAGGGCTCTGCTAGTCCAGGCGCTTGGAGGGCTGAAATTGGCTGTTGGATTTCATGTAATCTTCTACAAATTAGCTTGTATGTTCTGGAAGGTCGTACTGCTAGTCTCAACTGTCATATTCTCAGAGACAAGATGCAGGTAGGTACTTCTTGCATAAATTGGTTTTGTTTCTACGACGTCTTTGCAATTATGGCAGCAGGCCATACCATTTTTCAATGGTATACATGAACACTCGAACAGTCATGTCAGTGTGGTGTCAGTACATGTACATGTGACTTTTTTAAATGACTGTTCTAGGTATGGCATGTATGCACTTAGAATGCCTTTACATTCAGCAGATATGGTACATATTGAGACACTTGCACCGGATTAGAGGTCAGCACTTTTGTCAATGTGCATTTCGCCCCATCGATTCTTCAACTGTTGGACTTATGCAAAGCATTTTCGGGTACTGTATGATAATGAATAAATAACTCCACAGTTATTATATCGCCAGTCGACTGAGCCTCACGCGCAAGCCCTGAGGTTTTTTTGTATCGCCAATGAAATCAGGATTTGACATCACGCCAAGCTCCGAGCAGCAATATGCACAGAACCTACCCTCCTCGTAGTGATGACAATCCTGGCTGCTAGTCTGGACTATTTCAGTCACAAGTGTAGGACAGACTGGACTTGGGCCTGCTCCTAAAGCAGCATTTGAAATTCGAGAAAAAAACTTTCGTCAGGAGGCTTTCGTGAAACCTCTTCGTCAATACTAAAGGCTTGCCTGATCTACATGAATATAATAATTACTATGTTCTTGTCGTGCAATAGGGCACAGAAGTGGAGTCTGCTTCTATTTGCCACATCGGATGTGCGACATGTTTCCCTTACTGAAGACTATGTATTCTAGAATGATATTTCTGGTGTGCTGAAGTCATACAGTGCTGTTGGGTGCTGAAAGCTATCATTTCAACCTAGACTCGGCCAGTACTAGCCCGATTCTTGTCAGTTGCAAGCCAAGCCTCTTCTTGTTCGTATTCTCACGTACTAAAGCTTGTGCCAGCATGACCTTAGCCCTACTTGTTCGTATTTTGAGGTTTAAACTTTTAAAAATCCAGTCCGGCTGTTCTTCGTGACCCAACAGTACGCCCCTGCTTTTCATGGCCTGCATGTCTGACGAACACACACACACACACACACACACACACACACTGATTTCATGCGCTTGTGTCACATGTAGACAGCAGTGTAGCTGCGATAGAAAGGGCCCAGATAGTCAAGGTCCAGCAGCCCCGGATGCCTGGTTTACTTTGGGGATGTAGGACGTCAAGAATGGCTGCCGACAATTCGATTGATAGTCACAACGCCTTCCTGTCTGTCCTGTCTACGCGCCGTAGCTAGCCACTGCCCTGTGCAGTAGCCTGCTTGCCAACACATGAAACAAAGCAGCCAGCCTGTTTCGGTTGTGATCGAATAATTATAGTACATGTCAATGCTTATGCATTCAAATAAAATGAAGACATCAATAATTCAATGTGCTGATAATACAAAGATTAGTGCATCTACAGTTACTGCACTACTTCTAAATGCAATTACTGGTATCAACAATAATAATAGCCTTAATAGGGGTTGTGTCCAAGAAGTAGTGGACCTTGCTGAACTTAAAATAGCACATTTCATGATTTGGCAATATTGCTACAACTTGACTAAAATGTTCATAGACAAATGGCTGGCTGGCTCGCCAGAGTCGGTGCATGTTCGGTTCTGCAGTGCACGGTATCCGCTACGCACTGCGGCAAACGCTGCAGTTTTCCCGTGCATTTGAGCCTGGCTCACAGGCAGAACGTATATGCAAAGTCACTGCACTGGCTCACAATACATTCAAAGTTACGTATTGATTGTATTTTGTACAACAAAATATTGGTGGAAGTAGCTGTGTGGTGGTGGTGGTGGTACAGGTCAGGAACGCTCTTGAGTACCAGCTCAGCGATCAATTTCACCAAACACAACGTCCAGGGTGCCTTCAATAGTTCCAGGAGCAAAGAAACACAGGAGAAAAAGTAATGAGCTACGCATCGTGCCTCCCACTATATGTGTGGGTGCAACCCACACTAGTATCAAGTATGACCTTCACTGGGGACAGGGTAGGTGCATTGGGATCCGGGGATGGATACCTTGATGGTGTCAATCCTTTTTCAGCACCCTGTCTTCATCCCTTCACTGTGTTGTGGTGAGCTCATTAGTTAGATTAGTGGGATTGACTCAGATGGAGAGCCAAGGTTTAATTTATACAAAAGGGAAAGACCAAGGAACTACAAGTTACGCTATACTGTCCACTAACACCACCAGTTACTAAACAATCAGCTCATGCGATAACAGTTTAGTAACTGGTGGTGTTAGTGGACAGTATAGCGTAACTTGTAGTTCCTTGGTCTTTCTCTTTTGTATAAATTAGTGGGATTATTCATTTCCAAGCCTGCCCAGAGGCTGGGGATTACAGGGTGTGCCGTCCTTTGGGTGGTTCAATGGCCAATTGAGTCATTTTTCCAAGAGTCCTTTCAAATAACTTCCCTCTCTCCCGGGGAGACCCATCTCACCGATTTCTAGTACGTACAATTGTGTGTGTGATAGCCGGACACGGCAGTGGTACAAGGAAGGAAGGTGTGTGTGTGTGTGTGTGAACAGGTATCTACTTTCCCTTTGAAGGAGGAGCCTACTTGATTATGTCCAATGCCTTTGGTATATACCGGTATGTACAAACCTTCAATGGCATGTCTGAACACGGAAAAAGAGGGTGTGTTCTGATACAGATTGGTATGCAGTGAAGAAATGGGCCGGCATGACAGCGCCAGAGCTACCCACAGCTCTCCTGTGACGGGATGTTCAGCGCAGTAAGCCTTCATGATACCCCTTGTTACCTATCGACCCAGTGCCTTCAGGATCATGGTGCACTGGTGGCATTTCTGTTGTTCTGAACTTTTTTCTCTCATAAAACTCACTCACCGATAATAGCAACAACATCTGCCATGTACGATCCTTTCGCCATCTTGTCGATAGCAGCCTGCATACACACACACACACACACACACACACACGGAAGAGACACAGACTATAATGTTTGCGCCTCATGATCACGCTTACCTGCATACGTCAGGTCAGTATTCTACTGAAAACTTGAAAACGCTGTAGACCTCTTTCTGTGATAAGGACTCAAGCAATGTATGTATTTCGTACAGCACAACAGCGGTATTTGTGATAGTACTACTTCAAGCGGCGTCAGCATCTTAGCATCATACCATGTGGAGGAAGCCAGGTGCCTTGATGTTGCAGCGGTATGGCTTGTTCGAACCGTCACTGACAAGGTAGACACCAAACTCTCCCTGAAGGCACACATAAGGAGTTGAAATCAGAAACAAAGTATGTCAGTACTTAAAGTACCCTTTTGTATTGGCTTAGTTGATCATCACCGTCTTCCAGACCCCGTATCCAGATCAAGGGCAAAAAAAGCCCAGGAACCATAGCCTCATCTAGTCTCCATGTATACTATAACAATCAGGGGGACCATTCAATGCTTTTGACACAAAAAATTGGAGTAATACCACAAGGAATGCATGGAATGATCACTTTACCTGAAAATTGTAATTCCAAGAATGGTGGGAAATCGGCCAATTTTCTGTCCTATTTTTATTTTTAGAGGTCTAAAATGCACGGTAACCCCCCTAAAATTATGTATTTATAGTTTCTATGAAGTATGAGGATCCCAAAAATAAAATAAAAAGGGCATGTCCATGAAGAAATTATGAAGCTGCGCACCCAATTGTACTTTGCGGACGGGCATTTCTGCGAAGTTCATTTTTGTACCAAAATTACTATTTTTCTGAGTAGTCAATGCTGATTGCAAGATTTTCTTGCTCAAATGGTTCACTGTGATGTGTGAAAGGACTTGCAATCACAAAAAGAAGACAAACAACTGGTAAATCTGAAATATGACCCCAAAACAAGCAAATTTAGGCCGAAATCGATAAATACACCCACCCCTAGAAATACACCTCAAACAGCCTTATCTCCGCGGAAACATCCCCTCAATTTTTTTGTGGAGTAACATGGGATGATATGGAGCACACTCATCCACAAAAAGGAGGGGGTTTATGAAGAAAAAAATCACCCCCAAAGGGTTGGAGCCTCCTTAAAAGCATAAAGTAAAGAACTGTCTTGCTAATTCTGTTCCTCTGTTTGACTGTGTTGCGAAAGAACAATCCCCCTACCAACTTAGTCCTAGTACTTCAGTATTCATTGGGGGCTTGGGACTCATGCTTTCTTACCTTTGGTGCCTCGATTACACTATAAACACTGCCGGGCGGAACTTGATATCCTGATGAGAATAGTTTGAAGTGGTGAATCAATGCCTCCATGGACTCCTGTTAGCAGTGGATGATACAAGGGCACATGCGCAAGCACGCGCACACACACACACACACACACATGCGCACATACACCGCCACATTGCTCAGCTACTTGATCACTAACAGACTCCGCCTGGCTACTTACTGTCCTGATACACCCCAGAACAAAACAATCCCTGGCCGAATGGCACTTGAAATGTACTCCACAATCAGAGCACACCACATGTATTTCAGAAGAGTCTTACTGCCTGTTAAACACCCCCCTCCCCCCCCCCCCCCCCACACACACACACACACATGTCCTGGTCTATAATTTCGATGCCCGCGGCACTCACCTTCATTTCGCCTCTTGATGGCGGTACGATCTTGTTGTCATCTATCTTGATTGGTCCTTCAGGCATTTCGTTCATGCACTGCAAGAACAAAGTACAAATGAAACAGTGCCATGCGCTTATAGACATGTCACCCTGCTAAACTGCACCTGTGGGTGAAAGCAAACAATGACCAATGTCTGCTTGGGAGCAGTACGCACCTGGAGCATAATTCGCATACTTTGACGCATTTCCGCTACACGGCAGAGGTACCTGAACAACACAGACACAAATACAACATCAGACACACGCACGCACACACGCAATGTGACATCATACCGGTAGTGTCAAGTATAGCACCACTTGTACAGTGCTGTGAATGAACGTTTCCATCGGTTCCATTCCAAATATCTGCAGTTCCCACGTGCAAGCACTGTCCTTTCTTCTGCCTGCTCTTGTGAAATCCTCCCTCCATGTCAGCACACATGCACCAGTACAGAGCAGTTGCAACAAATCAAACTTTCAACTCGCAGCTTGTGCTTACCGGTCATAGCAATCACCCGCGTGGCCAACGGGTACGTCAAACTCCATTCGATCATAAACATCATACGGCTGAACCTTACGCAGATCCCATGGAATGCCGGAACCTCTCAGGAGAACACCACTGCAAAATATAATCAAACAAATAACACGAGACACCAGGAGAGATTTAAAAAGCTGGCGTCACAATCAAGGATGGCAGATATAACTATGTTTATTACTGCCCCCTGAAACAACAGCTCCAGAAGTGTGTTGCCCTAACGGTACAGATGCCATGGTGGTATTGTGAAGAAAATCATCTGCTGTGGAAGCACAGAATTTGTGTATTTAATGACAGAAGTCCATTTACCTCATCCCCATGTTCAGTGCATCTTCTGCCGAGATAACGCCAATGTTCATCAAACGTTGCTGCCAGATACGATTGCCAGACAGCATCTGTACAAAGGCAACACCAACACCAGCCAAGTCACAGTGGAATCACTGTCATAATTTGCTGCAACCGTCGGACATCAGGAGTATTGCAACAGCCTTGACGAGACTCTACTAATGTGTGAACACTCAACACAGCGCATTTACAATACACAGCACTTTGAAGCCATGAAAAACAAGAACTAGAAATGAAATTCTACTGCATTGAATAGTGCTCACCGACCGGTCCTCATCCTAGTCATTCTAGCTTCAAACATTGTTGAAACCCATAATCTTATCCTGTAGACTGTTCAGAGTGACGAGTTCAAGTGAAAAAAACTCGATGCTTCCGAACCCTCACCGTCTCCATTTCATCAAGTCTTTCGCCAAACTTTGACAGGAAGAAATGTATGTCATCTAGGATACCAATAGGAATGTCCTATTAAAAGACAACAAAAAGAGAGGAGAACAACACATCATAGAAAACATGAGCTGCTGCTATGTGCTCAGTCTGATATTCACAAACGTATGAAGCTCAGCGCTACAACTGAACAGTGTCAATCCTTCTTTGCAGGTGAACTGCTATACATAGAGAGGAGGTTTACAGTAGTGACTGTCCTCCATTGCAAGTACACAAAGACTGGAGGGGAACTTGTTGAGCACCCAGATTGGACATGCAGTAATGACTACCAATGGGTCAGCTCACCTATGATAGATTGTAGTAGTCGTTTCACAACTCGCCAAACCTCTATTCACGTGACTTGTTCAATGACCACACATTCATGCAACAGTAACATGTCATTGTGTACAAGTAGTGTGTTTTGTTTTCAGCAACTAACATCCAATGCCACGGTGCTGGCTTCTCTGAGTCGCATCTACACGTATACCAATACACAATCTCTGGACAGCGATTCCGCGGCCGCAGCAATTTTTGCAGAACTTGCCATCATCCGCGGAAATTACGGAATCCACACTTTTGCCTGCGGAATCTGAATTTTTGCAGGTAAATTAGTAAAATTACTACTCAGAAAGGAGCAGAAAAGCTACTTTGCAATCTGTTTGAGCACATTGCTCTTGTCAGTGTACGGGAGTGCAGGTCTCTCCAAGATTCTTCATTCCCATTCAAATCGTGACGGCCAAGGATAGTGTGAAAAGTACTCCTTCATGCCACGAGTTGTCATATCCTCTACAAGGAGGGTGAAAAAAATGGAACAGGTTACTGGCTGAACCAGTCGCAATGAAGGCATTAGCAACAACAAAGCATTTTTACCACCTTGAAATATCAGAGCCAGATTGTTCTAACTGCGATAAACACAGCAAGCTGTGCACCAGGGCAGATAACGTTGACGCTAACCAAGGAGCCGCTAACCAAGGAGCTCAACAAAGTAGAGGTGACGTGTCTAGTACTGTCTACTAAATTTTACTTCTACACATTGGAAGAAAGTACATACCTGGCTGACACCGCCTGGGCGTATATATGCAGCGTGCATCCGTGCACCAGATACACGCTCATAAAACTCCATCAACTGCAGCAGCCAATAACAAAACCAGGCAGAGACAATACTTGAAGTACAAGAATCGCAGGTAAACTCTGTTCTGGCTCACACCAGCACGTTTTAAAGACAATATTTAATTTTTTATGAAGATGAATTCCATTTATACAGCAACGCCTGTCACGTGCATGATTCAGCCTGCTGACACGGGCACGCCACTCCGTGAGCTCTACAGTTATCAAACTTACCACCTCGCGCTCCTCAAACATCCAGAAGAAGGGTGTCATTGCTCCAACGTCGAGTGCGTGTGTTGTCACTGCCATGATGTGGTTGAGGATTCGAGTCATCTCCGCAAACAGCACTGAAACCAAGCACACGTGTGGCAATACGCACAGTCATACACGCACACACACATACACACACACACACACACACACACACACACACACACACACTCATTCATTTTCCTCCAAAGCCAAGTTTCCTCTTCCATTTGTGTACACTGACACACTATTTCCAGTTTTAAAAAAACTGTTATTTCCCAGGTACCGGTGTTCACTTTTGATGGTTGAACTTCACCAAAGCAACTCCTGTTCACTCATATTCCAGCGATAGCAACTGTGTTCTTGACGACTGTATGTGTCCAAGTGTGACTAGTAGGCCATCATACTAATAGTACAGTGCGTATCGGTTATAGCGTGGTCGTGTAAAAGAATATACTGCCTACAAGAATGAACTCTCATTTTTTCATAATCATAACATGGATTTCAAGTGCACATGTATTCTTACAAGCAATTTTATCCCATAGTAGAATATATCGGTCCTAAGAATGGACTTTGTGTAGCGAAACATGCCAGATTAGTACAAAGTGTATCGCCTGTAGTAATAACATCTGTCCAATGCAGTTCTGAGCTGACTCTCGTTGCGTCGTAGTGCTGCAGGTTCAACTGTTGTGCTAATGTAACTCATGTTGCATAGCCACATGGTAAGCACATGGCCCTTTTATGGGACTATGACTAGCCACATGCACAGAAGTACTGCGTTGCATGTACGATGATCTTCCTGCCCCTGCACACATGCATATGATATGCCACACTTGATTTATCGAAGTTATCGTGTGTAAGAAATATCGGAAATAAGAATAGAAAGTCGTTTTTCAAACACCCACGCTATAACCGATACCCACTGTACTTATATGCTCGGCTGATATTTTGCATTTGATTGCATTGTTGTACATTGGACTGCACGTGAAAGCATTGATCTATGATTCTAGTTCCAAGAAAGTGTGCAGCGGGGGGATACATTTCCTGGGCGCTCACCTCGAATATATTGTGCACGAAGCGGCGGCGTGATTCCGAGTAGTTTTTCCACGGCAATGGAGTACGCCTGTTCGTTGGTCATCATTGAAACATAGTCCAAGCGATCAAAGTAGGGCAGGGCCTAACACGGGTCAAAAGACGTGGAAAGAATATTACATCAGTAACAGTAACATCACAGACATCTGCATGAACCGATCCGCAACAGTCCTGTCCAATATCTATCAAAGTACAATGTAAAATCCACATAAGGCAGCACTTGCAATTCACGAAAAAAAACTGAAACTGGTGCAGAGGTTCCCCAGTTTAAAGTACACCAAAGATGTTTTCCAAAAATACTTTCAGTATTTCAAACTTTCCATTGTAGCAAGAGGCGTCACATAGCGGCTATGTCATGCACGTAATACGTGTAGTGCACGCTGTACCTGAGTGTAGGTTTTATACTCGATGAGCTTCTCGGTGCCTCGGTGCAACAGACCAACGTGAGGATCAGCTCTCTCAATGATCTAGGAAGAAACCATCCACCAGACCACAGATTAGAGATATCCAAAGGAGACAACACACACACACACACACACACACACACACACACACACACACACACACACACACACACACACACACACACCTCAGACCTCAGACATGCCCATCGCGGAAGCGATGATAGCGAACAGCTATGTTAGACATAGCAACTTGTGCTGGGATTACACCATTCAACAGCTTGCAAGGCTGATGAATTGACCGCCACTATTTTTAGCCTGGTATCCACCACACAGCTGTTTGAAGTGACTTTTTCTGGCCAGTGAATCCCTATTTTTCATTTTTCCATTTTTTACGCACACACACCACACCACATACTCCGGCATACACTGGCTGTTGGTAACCACCCAGGAGAATGAAAGAAAAGTCAGGAAGAGTCCGAGAAAGAGAAGAAAGACGTGTGCGACCATAATCGTCGGGAATTGAACCCGCAACCTCTCGATTGGAAATCGACTACACACACACACACACACACACACACATGCACGCACGCATATGCACACATGCGCATGCACACACGCATATGCACACATGCGCATGCACACACACACACACACACACACACACACACACACACACGTGCGCGTATACGCAAAAACGCATACGGTACAATGTACTGGCGTCTGCTCACCTCTCCGTTGAGTTCCAGAATCAGGCGAAGTACACCGTGAGCTGCAGGATGCTGTGGACCAAAGTTTAATGTGTAGTTATGCACAGTGCGGTCTTCCTGGACTCCCCAACCTGCACAACGATACATGATACAGCAACTAGAATTGCAGTTACTTGCTAACCATGCCATGCTGTGCCAGTCATTGTGCAGCAAGTAGTCTCATAGTAGGGTGGAAGCTATGTTCACTATTGATGAAGACGATAGCACCGTGTGCATATCGCCGACATGAACCAGAATGCACAAATTCCATTCCAATCTCCGAACAGAGCCGGTCCAGTGGCAACAGACAGCCCTTTCATACCGCTGTGCAGCTGTGGCAAGTGAAACCCAGACTGATGTACACATACAGATATGTGTACAGCACCACGGGCACAGACCGATGTTGATGACCTCATGCATGTGTGCTGGCCCCTGGGGAAGGAAAGTGCTCAGGACGCGGAGGCTGAGCTTTCACTCCAGATATCATGTGGGATACACAAACACATACTCGAATGGTACTGGCTTTCCAGTGAACGCCAGCGGCACCCGACTTATGCTTGAATATACCTGGCCGTTGTGCATTCAGTATCAGCAGCCCCCCCCCCCCTGCCTATGCACAGTTGAGTTAACGTGTATAAGTTACATTGGCATCCTGTGGTTGGTGAAATTCTAGGCTGGTTGTTATTCGGCGCTCCGTTCTTCGGCACCCGGCAGTACTTTACTGCAGAACAGGAGTGTAGTGGCCTACGGTACAATGTACAGTACAGGAGTGTAGTGGCCTACGGTACAATGTACAGAACAGGAGTGTAGTGGCCTACGGTACAATGTACAGAACAGGAGTGCAGTGGCCTACGGTACAATGTACAGAACAGGAGTGTAGTGGCCTACGGTACAATGTCCAGAACAGGAGTGTAGTGGCCTACGGTACAATGTACAGAACAGGAGTGTAGTGGCCTACGGTACAATGTACAGAACAGGAGTGTAGTGGCCTACGGTACAATGTACAGAACAGGAGTGTAGTGGCCTACGGTACAATGTACAGAACAGGAGTGTAGTGGCCTACGGTACAATGTACAGAACAGGAGTGTAGTGGCCTGGTAGTGGCCTACGGTACAATGTACAGAACAGGAGCAAGAGGGTTCCTTAAGCGCCTCTGTGGCTTGCTTGCCAGGGCTGATTCCAGTATGCCCTATGCACACCATGTTGCATATGTGAGCGGCAGGCTGTCTTTCGCGCTGCTCCGATCCGCTGTCATGTGTGTCCGTGGGTCTCGGTCGGCATACCATCGTCCAGCTAACGAGCTCAGGGAGCTGGCGGTGGTTGAAAGCCGGATCTAAAACCAGTTGTGTTTTAGGGTAAACTCTCGCCACTCAGGAGACATATTTTCCACACCTGTGTACTATTAATTATCTTCCTATCATATCCTGGTTTCTCATCATTGTGTTGCTTTTGCCCGTAAAAGAGGCTGTTCTCTCACAGAACAGGAGTGTAGTGGCCTACGGTACAATGTACAGAACAGGAGTGTAGTGGCCTACGGTACAATGTACAGAACAGGAGTGTAGTGGCCTACGGTACAATGTACAGTGCCGGCGCCGGCGCCTCTCACTCATGAAATCCAGTCACGTCACTCAAGTATGCGCCGGACGGTATGGAGCCGTAGACCGTAGGCTGCGAACACTGGGCTGAGAAATGGTGGAAGGCACGAACTAAGTTTCTTGAGTGACGCGACTGGATTTCATTGTGACATTGAGCAGGACTGTACTTGTCTGGATAGTGGATGTTAGACTGCTGATCCCAGACTGCCGTCATGATAAAACGTACACGGCATCGACTGTGGATGATTTAAAACTTGCTTGCACAAGTTGCAGTACAGTCATGTACATAATCAACGTTGTGGGAGGACTGGTATCTCACCTCTCCAAAATTGCTCATCAAACACTTCATCTGCTTCGGCGGGAAATAGGGTGGTCTCGGAGGTTTCGTTCGGCTGCCTGTTATCCATATACTTGCCAAAGAGCGGGTTTTGGTGGTGTTCAAAATAGGCACCAGGAATGTTGAGCTTCTCGAACGGCTCCTCTCCCGACATCCAGTTACGATTCATTTCACCAGCAACATAAGGTGTACGGATGAAGAATGGCGCTGGCTCGCGGGTTTCCACTTTCTCACTGGCATAGCGCCTATTGCACAGACACGTCAAGAACAGAGCTGAGTGGCATGTTAACGAACTAAGAGCGAGCAATACCAAGAGAGAGTTTAGGTGCAAGCTATGGAACTTAGAAATCGTGATGCACGTAGCAAAATCAAGGATACTCAACCCAACTGACCACGTACCTCGGAGTAGTTACAACTGGCTCAATGCGCGATGGCCATAGCCGCGGCCCAGCAAGTCGCCTGCTAATCCTGAAGGCCGCCGCCATTCCAGCCTCGCCAGGATGAGACAAGTCTTCAGCAGAATGTTTTTTCACCACAATCACCCTTGACTAGAGATGACCCTTTTGACTTCATGAGTTGAGTGTGAGGCAAAGAAGAAAAAAGCAAAAAACTAACTAACTTCACTCTGCTCTAACTCGCACAAGTACAAGCGCCTCTTCGCTACCTTGTCATTGGGAAGAAATTCCCGTTTGGATTTTGCGAAGTAAAACGAAGTTAAAAAAAAAAAAAAAACCTGTACACCATGGTACACGACGATAGCAGCTCAGCTCAGCGCAGCCCGCAAAAAATCGACCCAACACGACGTCTTGATTTTTCGATCAGACGTCTTTTTCGAAATTTTTAAAAAATATCCTTGCATATGCTTGATTTTTTGAATGGATTTTGTTGTGCTGTACATTGTTGTGACATGATAAGTTTGGGTTTGTGAAGGACTAGTTTTGATTCGTCTTGGCTGAGAATGGCAACGGGTGGAGGTGAGAGCAGTGATGCTCCAAAGGCAGATACAGCATGCATCTTAGTGCTTGGAATGGCTGGCTCCGGTAAAACGACTCTCGTGCAGGTAATCTCTTTTTCTGTCTATTGAAAAATTTCGGATAAAACATTTTCCAGACATGATAAGCCCAAGGGCGAAGTAATTGTTAGCGATGGCACGTTACTTGTTTGTTTCAGTTCCCTTGTTGCAAAAAATAAAATGTGACACGTTCTTACAGACTAACAGTACAACATGTAGCAGCAAATGAGGATGCTGGCTGGAATTATGGAGCACTGTGTACAATTCTTTTTTTTCTCTTTTAATTGGGCGGCAAGTATTCTAATGGATGAATCATATTCATTTAGATCCGGATCAATTGAGCTGAATAGAAAAGAGTTAGAGAAATTTATGACAACTGAATGGATTTACCGTACCCGCGTGATTAAATTATGGTGCTCTTAACGTTTTCTAATTGTCCGCAAACTCCAACGCAGCCATTTACACATTTAGGAAACTTCACTTCTCACTGGCCCAAAAATTTGGTGTAATGTAAGTTTGAATTTGAATCGCAGTGCAGAGACGGTTTTTGGAGTGCGGAAATAAGAAGCACCAGTTCAATGCTCCTGCGTGCCCAAGTCACCTGGTCACCGCGCCAGCAGGCCCAAGGTTCAACTCGAGTGACAGGACTGCACCCAAAAAAGGTCAAACAGGCTGTAAGTAAGTACCCTGCAGGCACGGTACCCAGGTGACTGGTGTACGCAGGAGCACGTGACCGCTTGTTCAACCATGTTCGATTGGGAATAAAGGAGGAACGCTGCATCGCAGCCTTTTCGGACCAAAACCAGGCGACTCAGCGTCCAAAAGACAACATGTGGGCCAATCGCGGTCATCCGTGCTTTTATAAGAACGAAATGGCGCTTTTAGTGACATTTTGCATACAAATCCCCATCTATTAGGGCGCAGTCACCCAGTTTCGGTGGAAGTGCGCGAGTTCGATTGGGAATAAAGTAGTAAGGGAGCGTCTCAGCTTCCTCGGACCAAGACCATTCGACTCAGCACCCCGAAGACTACAACTGGTGAAAAGTTGATTTTAGGCTTAATTAACTTCCCCTTTAACGTGCTTCTTGCTGTTGTGGTTTGTTGACTGGTTTAGCGCTTGACAGCTGACGTCTCTGCTCGTGGCAAGCAACCCTACGTTATCAACCTGGATCCAGCTGTTCTGGAGGTGCCTTTTCCTGTCAATATTGGTATGCTTGTGATTGGATGTCTTTTAATAAGCTGTCTGCATGTAACATTTCCAGCAATGGAAGCCGGGGCTATGTATGTGGACAGAGAGTCTGCAGACTTACGCACGAAAGAAGATAATGTTTACAAGTACTTCTTTTTGAAGACAAAATTTCCTTTCCGGTATTTCCTCTCCACTGAAGAACTAACTGAGTTGAAGCAGTCCAGTGAAGATGACGATTGAATTGAAATACGTCATGCACGTACTGTCAGTCTTGTGGCTTGGACATACACCTCTTACACCATGTAGCAGTGACCAATCGTATTCACCACATACCACATTGTGTGTACGTCATCAAACGATTGACAGTTCTGTATGGGTGTGTTTGGTCCTGGGCTGTCTAAGGGGTCGTCCACAATTATCGAACTTTTTTCACGAAACGAAATAATTTCGTTATGGGGTGGGAGGGGGTTGACCAATTTCGTTTCAGAAAAGTTCGATACATGTACATGGCCATAGGAGCAGTTACACACTTGCGGGTTTTGTTGTATATGCATTGTATATGTCAACAATTTTTACGTTCTGAGGGGGAGGGAGGGAGGGGTTGGGTCTAAACTAAAATAATTCGTTTGGTGAAAAAAGTTCGATATTTGCGGACGGCCCCTAAGTCACAATATTTATTTAATAGTGATGATACCCTACGCAAATTTGGGAGTTCACACTTCAATGAACTCTTATACTTCTGCATACACAAATATATGCATGATCACTGAGCAGCCAATTACACGTGATGAATGGGTCCAACTAAACTTGTTGGCATTTTAGAAAGGGTTTTCCTCATTTGGTGAACTTTCTTTCATCCCATATTGGGAAAGAACTACTTCCCTACAATCCTGAGGACTTGAACTATCGGGGCAGATTAAAACTTGATTGTCCTGATCACCGTGTGTTTTAAAACGTTGATAAATTAAACTTACTGTCAGCTACCCAACTCTGTTTCCGATAAACTACTGTGTTTGTTTTTCTCTAGACATTCGAGATACGGTCAACTACAAGTCAGTCATGAAACAGTAAGTGCTGTAGATTCACTCTCATGGTTGTCTCATAGACTCCAAAACGGGGAGTTCATTGTCACTGACAGTCAATGAAAATCCAGCACATGTAATTCAATATCAGATTGCATGTGATAATTATAATGAAAACTTCCCGTTTATTTTCACTCCGATTTGTCACCCCACACCTCTGGCCTTTAGCCGGAGTGTAGCCCGAGTGCAGTTACTACATGTACTTTACACATGTATATCTCACGAGGAGTTTCCCTAGGATATTGTAGTTTACTTAGCCTGAGACATGTTTGATTCAGAGTCTTCTTGTGTGTGTGTGTGTGTGTGTGTGTGTGTGTGTGTGTGTGTGTGTGTGTGTGTGTGTGTGTGTGTGTGTGTGTGTGTGTGTGTGTGTGTGTGTGTGTGTGTGTGTGTGTGTGTGTGTGTGTGTGTGTGTGTGTGTGTGTGTGTGTGTGTGTGTGTGTGTGTGTGTGTGTGTGTGTGTGTGTGTGTGTGTGTGTGTGTGTGTGTGTGTGTGTGTGTGTGTGTGTGTGTGTGTGTGTGTGTGTGTGTGTGTGTGTGTGTGTGTGTGTGTGTGTGTGTGTGTGTGTGTGTGTGTGTGTGTGTGTGTGTGTGTGTGTGTGTGTGTGTGTGTGTGTGTGTGTGTGTGTGTGTGTGTGTGTGTGTGTGTGTGTGTGTGTGTGTGTGTGTGTGTGTGTGTGTGTGTGTGTGTGTGTGTGTGTGTGTGTGTGTGTGTGTGTGTGTGTGTGTGTGTGTGTGTGTGTGTGTGTGTGTGTGTGTGTGTGTGTGTGTGTGTGTGTGTGTGTGTGTGTGTGTGTGTGTGTGTGTGTGTGTGTGTGTGTGTGTGTGTGTGTGTGTGTGTGTGTGTGTGTGTGTGTGTGTGTGTGTGTGTGTGTGTGTGTGGGTGGGTGGGTGGGTGGGTGGGTGGGTGGGTGGGTGGGTGGGTGGGTGGGTGGGTGGGTGGGTGGGTGGGTGGGTGGGTGGGTGGGTGGGTGGGTGGGTGGGTGGGTGGGTGGGTGGGTGGGTGGGTGGGTGGGTGGGTGGGTGGGTGGGTGGGTGGGTGGGTGGGTGGGTGGGTGGGTGGGTGGGTGGGTGGGTGGGTGGGTGGGTGGGTGGGTGGGTGGGTGGGTGGGTGGGTGGGTGGGTGGGTGGGTGGGTGGGTGGGTGGGTGGGTGGGTGGGTGGGTGGGTGGGTGGGTGGGTGGGTGGGTGGGTGGGTGGGTGGGTGGGTGGGGTGGGTGGGTGGGTGGGTGGGTGGGGTGGGTGGGGTGGGGGGTGGGTGGGTGGGTGGGTGGGTGGGTGGGTGGGTGGGTGGGTGGGGGTGGGTGGGTGGGGGGGTGGGTGGGTGGGTGGGTGGGTGGGTGGGTGGGTGGGTGGGTGGGTGGGTGGGGGTGGGTGGGTGGGTGGGTGGGGGGGGGTGGGTGGGTGGGTGGGTGGGTGGGTGGGTGGGTGGGTGGGTGGGTGGGTGGGTGGGTGGGTGGGTGGGTGGGTGGGTGGGTGGGTGGGTGGGTGGGTGGGTGGTGTGTGAGTGTGTTGTGTGTGTGTGTGTGTGTGTGTGTGTGTGTGTGTGGAAAAGCCCTCCCTGACGCCATTGTTTCTCTTGTTCCATTGCATATTAACCCGTTTAGCGCGAGCGTCGTACTAGTACGACGCACATGAGTTGCATGCCCCACGGCCGTCGTACTAGTACGACGCGCGCTGTACACTGTGCAGTGAACCTGCATCTCATAGTCGTGGGGTGTTGAGTCCATTGTGACTTGTTCAAACTATCGTAACTCACTCAATACTTGGTCGATTCTCACAATCGAAACATGTATCTGCAAGAGAAAACTCTCAGCTGGCGATACAAACAATCGCCGAAGCGATGCGACAACCGGTTGTTGAGATATGCGACTCGACACGGCAAATTTCAACTCGATTTTTTTGCGCAGTCTGCAGAACGCGTATTTTCCATCATGGATCATTTGTGCGCTACCTGCTGCCATGGAAACAAGATTCAAATGATGGTAGTGGATCCCGTGAGTCCTCACAAAAATTTGAGCTCGATACGAGCAAGGAGACCGAAATGGCAGCTGAATATTTGAGCTTGGTTAGTCTTGGCCGTGCTCAAGTCTGTCGAGCGCGTGGATGAAGTTTGCCAGACTCTAGCACGGGGTTTTCCCGAGCTAGGTTTGACACCAGTTTGTCACACGTCTCAAGACCTTTCCAGGAAGCTCAAGATCGTGGAATTCGTCCAAGGGAAGGTAAAGTTATCGATCCTTGAGCAGCTAGTACTTTCATGGGAAAATGCGACTTTTACAGGTGTTGTCGTGGGGCGCGCTCAGGTAGCGTCGTGCTAAAGAGGTTAACACTGTGTTATCTTGTGTCTCCAGGTATAGCCTGGGTCCCAATGGTGGAATAATGACATCCTTGAATTTGTTTGCAACTCGTTTTGGTGAGGTGAGTTCAAGGTCCAGGCACATTGCCTAGTGTTTTCTCTTTACTATGATTTAAGTAGAAGGACAACGCAATAGGACAACACAAGCTGAGTCCCCCACCAAACGAAGAGTGCTCAACAACTTGAAGTGGAGCTTGCTCTTACAATGGGGGTGGAGAGAGGGAAAGAAACTTGATGAATGATTGCTTAGAGTGTTAAGCTCAGAGTTACATGTCTAAGTACGTCTCTGTCTCTCTCTCTCTCTCTCTCTCTCTCTCTCTCTCTCTCTCTCTCTCTCTCTCTCTCTCTCTCTCTCTCTCTCTCTCTTCTCTCTCTATCTCTCTCTCTCTCTCTCTCTCTCTCTCTCTCTCTCTCTCTCTCTCTCTCTCTCTCTCTCTCTCTCTCTCTCTCTCTCTCTCTCTCTCTCTCTCTCTCTCTCTCTCTCTCTCTCTCTCTCTCTCTCTCTCTCTCTCTCTCTCTCTCTCTCTCTCTCTCTCTCTCTCTCTCTCTCTCTCTCTCTATCTATCTATCTACTCCGTAAAATTCCGTTAATAAGCCCCGGGCGTATACTTTGCAGAGCGTCAAAACCGGGCGTATATTTGGGCATGGGCTTATTTTGGGGCAGGGCGTTATTTCGGACGCAATCGGCAGAAGATCAGACTAGTTTCAGTGAACCACCATTAACACTGAGCGCGGTACAGGTACATCAAACCACAAAATTTGAGTCCACTTTACAGTTTGTACGCGAACGCACGCTCGCACGCTGGTCATTTTGAGTCCACTTTACGCCCTGAGCTTATTTCGGGCATGGACGCTAAAACGGACTTGAAGTGTACACCGCCTAAACCTGGGCTTATTATCGGACATGGGCGTTATTTAGGGTGGGCTTATTTACGGAATTTTACGGTACCTATCTCTCTCTCTCTCTCTCTCTCTCTCTCTCTCTCTCTCTCTCTCTCTCTCTCTCTCTCTCTCTCTCTCTCTCTCTCTCTCTCCTGGTTTTACTATTTTTAAGCATATCATCATTTCACCCTTGTTTCACAGTGCATTGTTTCTGTTCACAATACGTGTGCTTTCAATTGGCTGAGGCTGGTGTGTAAGCCAGTACCTTTTAAAGTGCTTTTCTGTGTTGTGTGTCTCTGCTCGTCGCAGGTGTTGGACTTTGTCAAGAAACGAGCCCCAGAAAGCGAGTGTGTAATTATTGATACTCCTGGACAGATCGAGGTCTTCACCTGGTCTGCATCGGGCACAATCATCACCGAGTCTCTAGTAAGTGCAATGCAGCTGCTGTCTGCTTGTTGTGAGAATAAACCACAGAGGGTGGAGTGAATCACACGATCCACATGGACTACACCACAGCGGGTGGAATCATGGAATGAATCACATAATCCACATAGATGAATACAGCCCTCTGATAACTGCTGTCCAAGGTGGTGAAGCTCTGTGTTGATTGCTGTGGCTTTGTCTTATGCAGGGATCCTTGTTGCCAACGGTGGTGGTGTATGTGATGGATACGGAGAGGAGCACCAATCCAGTCACGTTCATGTCCAACATGCTGTATGCATGCAGGTACGTACAGCAACCTAATTCATGTCTTCCATGTTTGTATGTACGTGTGTGTGTGTGTGTGTGTGTGTGTGTGTGTGTGTGTGTGTGTGTACGTGTGTGTGTGTATGTGTACGTGTGTGTGTATGTGTGTGTGTGGGGGGGGGGGGGGGGGTGGAGGGAGAGAATGCATTAATGAGAGGAGAGAATGAGAGAGAGAGAGAGAGAGAGAGAGAAAATCTTGCTGAATTTGTGTGTCTTCCTTTTTGCACCTTTGCCATGCAGCATACTGTACAAGACCAAGCTACCCTTCATTATTGCACTTAACAAGGTATGTTGCTGGTGATGATTATTCCATGGCATGCATGTATACCGGTACTGTAGCCGAGCAGTGCCTACAATTGACATTTTGTATTTGTATTAATGGATTCTCCACAGGCCTTAGCCTAAATCGAGGGAGTCTCCGTTTCTTGTCACATGTGTCTTGAAGGAGATTACAGTTTCTCTTTGGATCTCACTGTGTGTTGGTCACATCCAGAAAATGCTTCCTTGAAGGAGCATTCACTCCATCTAAGTGCAAGCTCTCTTCGTAGATTCTGATCTCCAGCACAAAGTGACTTTCTTTTTGCCATTGGTGCTGGGTTTCTTCCCTCCTTCTTTCCGATATGAAAGAGAAGTGACCGTGTAATACTTCAGGTGCATACCCTAGCCATACTGACTCATTGGACCCTTGTATTAGTGCTGCTGCTGAGGATGGTGATGGTGCTGCTGCTGCTGCTACCGTCACCATTGCTTCTTGGTGTTTACCAGACATTGCGGTTTGTTCTGCATTGCGGAGATTCTGCGATGGTTGCCACTGCGTCCAGTAAAATTAGTATTGTTGTCATGTGTCTCCCTTTGTCGTAGAGCGATCGAGTTGACCATCGGTTTGCAATTGACTGGATGAATGACTTTGAGGCCTACCAACTAGCCCTGGAGAATGTAAGTGTCAGTTGCGAATCACATGTCAATCGCACGTGTTGCTATGTCCAGATACGGCGTGCAGGATGCAACAGCTTGCAGATGGGTTTTTTGACAAGCCTCAGTACTATAATTGTTGGACTTGCTGTTGAACTGACTAGAGATTGGTCGCAATGTGTCAGCGGAGTGTGCATTTCAGAGAACAGGCTCTGGCACTGGATGCCTGCTCTGCTGGGTGCTATCACATTATATCTTGCTGATGGTGTTCAGAGACTGTGTAACATGAACTGTTGGAGACATGCATCTTTACCTACGACCTATATGGCTTCAGGCGCCTGAAAATAATCATGTACCTAAAGATATTCAGAGCTTATACATGCATATGCCTTTTAAAAACACTAAAAAGGGGAATTGCTTTCAAAAGTTCAAGCTTTAAACCTAGAATTACATTTGAAAAGTGTCGTATGTACTATGTATGCAGGTGATTCAAAATTACCATGGTCAATATTTGCAACTGCACTGGCATCACCCTTTTCAGCGTTCTTATCCTTGTATTTTCACTGTTGTGTCTTGTGATTTAGGAAACATCGTATGTGTCGGGAATGGCGCGATCGATGAGCCTGGTGCTGGATGAGTTCTACAAGAATTTGAGGGTACTAGTTCTTTTTGTACTGTGTGTGCTTTCCTTTCTTCTCTATTGATGTGTTTAGTACATGTAGGTGCTACTGTTAAGTCGCGTATAAAGGCCTGGCATATTCCAGTCGAAGCCTATGTCAGGGGTGGGCTTCTCTTCACATCTGCATTTTGTCAAACCTGGTACAGTCAAACCTCGTTAGGACGAACACTGATAAGGCGAACTTTCCATTAGTACGAACTAGGGCCAATCCTATGGTTGGCCAGGCATCATATCCAGTTAAAATTATTCGTTTACGACGAACTCCTGTATGGCGAACTTTCGCGAAGACGAACTATTTTCAAGTGTGATTTGAATAAAATCAGCGCGTAGTATGAACTTTGGGTGCGTGCGCTGGCTGTCTTTTTTTCTTTCTTTTTTCGATAGCCGGGGGTCCATACATTGATTGTACGTACTGTCATGGACATGGAGATCTGGTTGCACGTCTAGCGGCGCTGGCCATGCAGCCGTGGATAAGCGGTAAACACATGCATTATGCGCTGAAGCGCGCTGGTCGCATCGGATCAACATGACTCGACTACTCATACTCGAGTCGTAGTCGACTAGACTGTGAACTGCACGCAGCGTTCTGTACGCGCTGAGGGCGCCGGCCTGGGTCAATCGACTGGATTTCCATGTCCGCTACAGTACATAGATCTACGTAGTGAATCGTAGTAGACGCACTAACGTGCGTGCTTTCTAGGCCAAGCTTCAGCGTACACTGTTCGCGTCGTTGATTGAGTTGTGAAGTGTTTTGTGAAGCAAAGTCAAAAGAGCGTTTATTTATTTATTTATTTATTACAGCATCTCATAGCACAGTGAGAACACCGGCCAATACAAAGAGAGAGGGTGTTAGCCAACCACGGCAAGGCAGGGAGAAGGGGAGGAGAAGAAAAAGGAACCGGCATGGATCAGAAACACAAAATCAAAGTCAAGGCGCGACAAGGCTCTTAAAAAGGCGGAGGGAAGAAAGGTCCTTAGCTTCTTGGGGAAGACAGCAGCTAGCTAGCAGAGGAAAGATTGCATAATTATTTGATCAGTGAGCAACGTAAGTCGGTGAATTTTTCAGGTGGGGGCGTTGATCCGTAGAGGGTAGTGGCGTTCCTGCGGATGCGGAAAACTCGGCCTCCACTGGCTCCGACCGAGTCTCACACTACCCGTGACCTTTTTTGTAAAGTATGGATGTTGAGATGCTGTGCTTCACATGCACACTCGTAATCACTCATATTCAATCTATGGTTTATCGTAATGTATTTGTTTGTATATGGAAGCACAGTCACGAATTGTAGCACATTGCCTGTTTCTGGCTTATGCTGAGAATAAATGCTTCCCATTTACCACAGTATGCACCTTCACGTCGTAAATACAATCCATATGATATGCATATCGATTTTTTTTGTCAGATCTGGATAAGAAGAACTCCCGATAAGACAAACAAATTTGTTCAACCCCTTGAAGTTCGTCCTAACGAGGTTTGACTGTACATGTATTTCAGTAAACACCAAAATCAGGCTTATGTGGAAACTGTCCATCTTGAAAACCAGGCTTGTATTCGAAACAGGCATCTTTCTGAGACCGACTTTTACACAAGACAATACGAGTATCTATTTTCAATGAGTTATGGCACCAAGGCAAGGCCGAAGAAAATTTCCAGGAAGCACCCATGTGAGATTGGTCTGGGCGGGCAGATTTTTAATTGTCTTTTTTTTTTAAGAGAGGACCATAAGTTACAAGTTATCCGTTTTGTCCAACACTAACGGATATAAGCAGGATATTATTGGTGAGACAGAATGTGCAACAATTAGCACAACACTGATGTGATACTGACATTCAACGACCTGATGCTTAGCTGCATCGCGTCTGGAATGCGCTAAACAATGGCCTTCCAACTTGGAAGGTTCTAAGTTATGAAATTCCCCTTCCCCTTTCTTACGCCGGCTCGATTTTAGTGCACGCTGGCCCTGGAATCTCGATTTTTCTGGTCTCGTCTGAGGATGTTAGGCAAGCAAAGTGAGAATGTAAGAAAAGTAGCCGTGTGCTGTTGTTGATTGTGAGCCCAGTGCAACATGTCTTACTCCCCAGTGTGCAAGATTTATTCGTATGGTGTGATATCGTCTTCTTTTTTTTATTGATGACTGTTCCTTTCCTGCAGGCTGTCGGAGTGTCCGCAGCTACTGGTCTCGGTATCAGCGACTTCTTTTCGGCTGTGAAAGATGCAGTTCAAGAGTACCACACGGACTACAAACCAGAAATTGATCGACTGCGTCAGGAACAGGTTTGTGCATGTTGTGCATATGCCTGTGTCTGCATACAGTGCAGTGCAGTACAAGTAAAGAATCATCCCATCAGTATCCACTAGTTGAGAGAATGGAAAAGGGAAAGGTCTGAAGAAAAAATTGACTGTCACCACCAGGACTCGAACCAGGGATCTTCGTTTGAGGCCAGCGATGCTCTACATTGTAGTAACAACTGAGCTATGGTGTAACTGCCATGCCAGCAGAGACCGTTCAACATTTCTTCAGACTTTCCAAACTCACCCATCAGTATCACTGATGTTTTTTTAGTGGACATTGTCACCACACGGAGTCTTTCATTGCTATGCCAGCCAGCATTATCTTGTTATGGCGTTCAGGTACTCTTCTAGAATTCGACTTCATGCTGCATGTACTTCAAATGTTTGCATTGCTTCACTCTGCTATTTGCAGTGTATCTCGAGTCTGCTTTCCTCTGTGTTGTTACTGTGGCAGGAATCCAAGAAAGAGAAGTCCAGTGGAGATGAGTTTGAGAAGTTCCGTGCGGAAGTAGCTGCCGGTGACACTATTCTGGACCCGTCTCTGAAAGGTCAGCTGTGCACTGGTGTCTAATAGAGTGTTCCTTATCTTGTACTCTCTCTAGTATAGTAATACATGACAGGCTCCCAGCTTTAAGTTACAGCTCATCATTCCTTCGCCTACGGTCTTTGTGTATATTGCTCTGCACATTTGTGTATTTTTTAAATACTGTCCTAGCTGTGTCGAACATCCCTGTGTGTAGTTACTTCAAAGTACTCAATTCTTGCGTTTTGCTAGCACTGGCACAGCTCTGTGAGATGCACACTGTGTGTAGTTTTCCACTCATCTTTTTCTGATTTTTAAAGCATGCAATGGGAACCAGCACTGGTATGTCTATGTGCATTTACACTCTTGGCTTCTGTGTCTTGTTTTCAGTTGAGGCAAAACCAGTTGATCGCAGTATTCACCTTGGCGCTGACCTGGAGGAGATGCCAGAGTCAAATGACACACCAGCGGACGATGACGGTAAGCCAAGACAGTTGGGCCGTGCCACACTTCCCTTGCTTGTCTCCTTTTCTTCGAAGTACTTCATCAGGGAGGTTCCGCTCTACGTAATTCGTATGTCGTACGAGCCGGTGAGCGAGGGCAACTTTCATACGCAAATCACTCTACGGAATTCCATAGGAAAGTGCTTTCCTACGTTCGGTCCTCCGTAGGACTTTTTGAAATATTTTTTCCGGATTTATCTAAGGCAAAGTAACAAGCCGCGCGAAATCAAGGTACAGCGCGTGGAAAACTACCGTACAAGTAAATAAAGAGCATGGTCTAAGTTTGTTGTGCATACGGTGGGCGCATGCAGCCGACCTGTCTCCAACGTAGCAAGGCATGCTTCAGATCGTGGAGAAATCACATAGATCGAAACCCAATAGTGCGGATTTTCACGTATGAAAATTATGTGCAGTTCCTTCGTTATTTTCGTACTTCGAAGTACGTAATGACTAGGGCTGAAAGGAATATTCGAATTATTCGAATATTCGAAGCAAGGCGGAAAAAGAATATTCTTCGTTAAAGTAGAATAGGAATATTCGTAAATGTACAGAAACTCGCCTTTTTGACATCGATCAAGCTTATTTGGTGCAAAATATAAGTAGGCTTGCCTCTTTCGGTGTGTTATAATCAGCAAGACAAATGATTTTTCAAATGTCTCTCTTGTAATTGGGGTGTATGCCAGTTAATGGTCTATGGTTACCATGGATAAAACTAGGTGTCCATGGAAATTGCATGGTTTAGAATATTCGGAATATTCTTCGCTTCGTATGTATTCGGAAAAAGAACATTTGTTCGCTTCATTGAGCATTCGTTTTAGCCCTAGTAATTACGTAGAGTGAAACCTCCCTATTATTTAACTTGTGCTTTTGCTTAGTTACACACTGTTCAAGACCAGTACAATGTACCTGTCCTAGCCTAGAGACAGCAGTCGCACAATGCTTGAGGACTGTGGTCTAAATGTCAATGTACTTATCCCTTTCTGGTGTTTGTCTCTGGCCCTTGTGCAGATGTTCATGATGAGCGGTTTCGCCAAGAGATCGCTGCTGCGCATCGCTCCAGCAAAACGTAACACGGCGTGCTGCAAGACCATGGTGTGTCTTCCATGCGTGTAACACAATGACACAATAGGATATGCGAGCGGTTACCCAGCTCACTGGTCCGGGGCAGATTTGATAAGTCAAAGTCAGCATCGTGCTCTGCACTGTCCGAGTGCCTGTTCCATCCACTACCTGAAGAATGCCGGTGGTAATCATTCAGCCTAACTGTCCGTAGCCGAGCACCGGTAGGTTCTGACAACAAACCTCTGTCTCTGCTAGAAACCCTAGTTTGACTGATGCCTCCCCTGATCAGACCATCATGACAGCAAAACTCCAGCTGTACGAAGGAGCACAGCACTGTGCTGGATTGTGCAATGCTCATCTCTGAGCCTGCTCCTCTCTCGGACCCAGCAGAGAATTATTCTCAAATGAAAATTCAGAACAGTTCAAACTCTCATTGCTATGTTTCGAAATCTGTCAACGTTTGTAGCAGCAGCTTCCCGCCATTGTATCAAGCAACCACAGTCCAATATTGCATTGGCTTCTCTGGGTGTGGTGACGCTCATGTGTGTCAGTGCATAAGATAAATGAACTCCTATCTTTTCCAATCACTCGATACGCTCTGTTGTCAATCCATTGTTTTCTCCATGCTGACTTGATATCTCGTGCCACGTGTTGAGTCAATATCCAGGTACAAGTAGCAGTGCGCGTGCCTTTGGAGAATTGTGGCTGGCACTTTGGAGTCCACTTCTCCCATTATTGTGTCGTGCACAGCTTTAGCCTTTCGCTACAGCAGCAAAGGATCAGAGAAGGCGAAACAAGGGGGGGGGGGGGATACAATTGTATATCGTTACCAGGTCAATGTACAATGTATATATGTACTTGAAGTAGGGCTGACATTCCCTTCCAAATACTCTAATTTCAGAAATTTTCGGTGCTCAATATTTTCGGTATGAGGGCAACAGGCCAGGTTAGGTGAACAGAAATGTTCGGTACAGAGAAGCAGTTCCCTATTGGATTATGTGTGTTAGTGTTTATTCGGTGTATTGAAATTTTAGGTATGAAACAAACGCACCGAAAGTACCGAAAATAAAAGTACACCGAAAATTTGTGAAATTACAGTATCTAAAAGTTAAAATGTATCAGAAAACTGCAAGGAACGCGTTTTCTAGGCAGTGGTCGAAAAGCTAATATCTTCCTGCATTCCTGCTTGTTTCTATGAGAAAAGAGTGAATACTGTACAAAGAACGAATACATGCGCATGTATACCTCATGCTCTGAAGTACATTTGGAACTTAATTTATAACCTTTTTTAATATCATGAAGAAAGGAAAAGAACAAAATGTTACGAGTTATGACTGTCCACCAACGTAACCAGATCTTATACAGTCAGCGAGTGCGACAAAATGGCACAAAACTGACAAGGGGTACTGAGACATTCATCGACCTGACACCTAGCTCCAACACTTCTCCAAGGCGCAAACCAATAACCATAATCATAACTCGTAACATTTTGTCCTTTTCCTTTCTTCATCATAGCTATATTGGCTCACCATCCGAGTTCAACTTTTTTAATATCTGTGATGTTTAGCATGGATATCACAGCATGATTCCTCATCAGCTACGAGCTACGCAGCATTCTGGTGATTGCCCGTATGTTCCTATTTTAGCAGCCTTTGGGGCTAGTGCCCGGACAATAAAATGCTGCACCAGTTCGCATGGCCAGGTGGCCATGTAAAGTCTCTTACCTTCTCCGGGACGGTGACAATAAGGTGTTGTGCAGCCATGATTTGATGAATACTCATGGTAATGGCCTAGAGAAAAGCAGAATGGAAACCAGTGTCAAGTTAATGCCGCCGGTGCATTCCACCACAATAGACTAGGAATGTTTTTTTTCCAGAGTTTCTTTTCTGTATCCATCCAGAAACCATCATCATTGGCTTCAACACTGGGAAACTCCTGTTTTCAGCTTCTTTTGAACCAAGATCTCAAACATTCACGATGTGTTAGACTCATTCCGGTAGCTGCAAGTAGTTCGTCTTGTTGCTTTCATGCCATAGAAGCAGCAAAAACCTTTAATAGGGAGGTTTCGCTCTACGGAATTACGTATGAAAATAACGTAGGAACTGCACGTAATTTTCATACATAAAAATCAGCGCAGTTGGGTTTCGTTCTACGTGATTTCTCTACGACTGCTAAACATGCCTTGTTGCTTTGGAGACACGTTGGCTGCATGCGCCCACCGCGTGCACCAAGAACCGAAACCGTTTTCCATTTTATTTTGCACGTGGTGTACGGTGCACGGTGTGTGTACCTTCTGTGTCGCGCGGCTTGAACGTTGCCATGGATAAATCCGGAAAATGCGAAAAATATTTCAAAGAGTCCTACGGAGGACCCAACGTAGGAAAGAGCTTTCCTACGGAAATCCGTAGGGAGATTTACGTATGAAAGTTGCCCTCGCTCCCCGGCGCGTACGACATACGGATTCACGTAATTACCTAGAGCAAAACCTCCCTAATATCTATATTTATGCTGACCTTTCATACAAACTTCCAGTCAACTTGCCCATCATGCTGGCGGCTTATACTGGGCATATAAGCCTCATACCTCATACAAACCCCATATAGACCGCCACCATAGAAACAGGAAGAAGTTGACTGTCAGTTTGTATGAAGGTCAGCATAAGTATAATACATCCCACTAGTACGCTTGTGCGTGAAATATAAACCATCATACAAACCTCGGCTTCGCCTCGGTTTGTATGTCGGTTTATATTTCACATACAAGTGTACTGCTGGGTTATATTATATACGTATGAGTCAAGTTTAATAGTCAACACGGCTTTATAGATGTTGTAGAGAGAATGAGCTGTCACCTCGCACTCACTTGTTGTGGAACTTCTTCCAGTGTGGCGAACCAACCCTCGCCGAGCTGCTGTTTTCGGCAAGACTCCGCTAATTGGACAGATATGTAGGGCTCTTCGGTTTCAAAATCAGCAGGCGGGTCATTGAATGCCAAATGGCCATTCTCACCTGAAACCCGAGAGACAATCAGATGCAGCAAGTCAGATAATTACTACATTGTACTTTAAAAATAATCACTGATGGATATCCAAATCATATACCGATAGATGTGTATGGGGTCCATGCACATACATGTACATGTACTAGTATCTGATTAGAATATCCCTGCAAGCAGTATGTTCTTAGAAGTAGCCAGCAGATGTCACTAAAATAAGCTTCCCAAGGCATGCAGCAGACCTCAAACTGTACCCGAATACGCTGTTAGTCTGGTCAGGTAGATCGAGACTTTGCATCCTTGTACTATGGCTGTTAAAGATCAGACTTACCAATTCCGATGAAAGCAACATCAATCTGATGCTGCTTGATTACATTTCCAAGTTGTTTGCATGTGACTTCTGGCTTGGACAACCCGTTGATGAAGTGGAAAGCTGCAGGTTTGGTGGGCAGCTTGTTCAAAAAACGCTCCCTAAGATACCTGTGAAAAGAAATACATGTACAAGAGACTTTTCGAAGTATACATGTATAGTACACCAAAAAGGCAGGTATTGGTACTTCAGTATTTTGACCATCCCTGTGGCGCTGAGCACCCCAGGTAATCTGGGAACTCTCGCTATTGTGTACTATAGTAAAAAAAAAAGTAAATTATCGTGTCCGTTCCCGCAGGGAACTCACGACGGCCGCTAACACCCGGTAAATCCTACATGTACATGTATTGGAATTGCCCTTCCCCAGCGTTCTACTATCGTCACGCTCTCGTGCACAGGAGAAAGATTCATAGCCACACAAGCATGGTATCTTAGCAGATGTTTTGCATAGGGTAAATAAAAGAGTTATGTCCCACCCGCCGCATTTTTTTACTACCGGTACTTTGAAGAGCATGCATGTAGTGATGTACTGGAAATATACAAAATTTTGGCGCTGCAAAATTTCAGCATTTCACGATTTTCGACATTTCAGCTTAATTTTGGCGTTTGGGGTGGGTGTCGAGAATATCCGATATTGAACTGCCGAAATTTTGTATACAGTAAAATCTCTGTTTGCCGGACCCTGTGCCAAGCGGAATCCTGTATTGACCGGACCAATGTTCATGCACTAAAGTGCTGTGGATCAAACGTGTATCTTTGGATCAAGCGGAATCCTGTCATACCAGGACAGTTTCCACTGCACCAAGGGCAAGAGTGTCCGGTTAGGGCAGGTTTTACTGTAACTAACAGTACTAGTACATGTCACTGATTGTGACGCTAGAAATAATGATTACTACTGTTGTGGACATGATAATCCGGGGCCGGCGCCCTTAGTCCCTTTACTGTTTTGGCGTGTACATGTACGGCAATTCACGTACACGCTGTAAAAAAATGGACTGGCACTAGTGGCAGTGCTCGCGGCTGCAAGGCCAGCGCCCCATGGCCGCTTGACTTCTCAACGGATTTCAATGTCCGCTACAGTTATATGAGCTGTTTGTACAGTGAATGTGGCTGGTTTTTAGCCTGAACAAGTGCACATCTTTGCCATACTCTTTGGGCCTGGGGTGAAATATTTTCTTCAATCAAACTTACCCTACAAATGATGCTGGGTGATCATCAGACAGACCAATGTACTCATCGAGATGAAAGCAAGTCACCTTGTTCCAATCGACACCATCCGACGTCACCAAGTGTTCTAGCATCTGCAGCGGGCAGCAAGCATGGATGTAGCATGGCAACCAGACAACATCGAGTCCACACATGACGTACAGTGCTGCTCGATGAAATCTGATCGAGCGAGCCTCGGGCCAGTTTGTACGCCCTGGACCATTTCGCAGCCTAGTGTTCACTGGTCTAGGGCTGCACTGTTTCTGGCGCATACTTGACTCGCTCGATAGGATTTTACTGCCAGAGCAGCACCTTACATACGTATATTACTGAGTTGTGAAAAACGATTTTCCTGCCAGAGGAGAAAAAAAAGGAATGGAATAATCCACCCGATTGGTTGGCTGTAGGTAGGGCACACCATTGCAGTGGTGCTCCCTAGCAGTCGACTATGACTATGACTATGACGCGGGTACAAGTACAAGTACAGTGGAAACGCCTAAACCCCAAAAAAGCCTCTGGGACCAGACGCCGTGATCTGCCCGGCTAAACAGGGCAATGTCTTGATTATAGAATGCATTGAAGTTTGATTGAGATACTGTGATCAGTAGAGACTAAAAGAACGTGAACTCGTGAGGTGTCCTATGTTGAGAGGCATCCACTACTAAGCCGGGGAGGTGCTATTGCTCTTCGATACTCCTTGCATTCCATTTCTACTATTCCGGCAGGCCAGACAGTTTTGCTTTCTTCTCGTACCTCACTCGTCAACACTATCAGTGGTAGCAAGAGTACATAAACCAGAGTGTGCAACTGTGCATATCAGATCTGAAACAGCGCAGTTCGTGCACTACGTCACCCTGATGAGGTCAGCCAAGCCGCGACTTGCGTACAGCTCGAATTTTCATGTTTCATAGCCCGGAAATCAGCCAAGTTTGCTTGATTTTAGACGTCCTGTTTCAGGATTTCGGTGTTTTGTGTGACTGTGTACCAGGGAGTAGTACAATACTGTATTGTACTACTCCCTGCTGTGTACGCTGCGTACATCCACCGACAAGTAAAGTCACCAGGCTATCCGTCTCAAAAAACCGAAATCAGGACAAACTCAGTGAACTGCACCACCGCGACTGGTTACGCAACTTTTCACCGTACCTGTGGCTTACCATGCCGTCAGAAATGACGTAGTGCACGAATTACGCTCCCACAGGAACCATCCCGAGTTGCACACTCTGGTTTATGTACTCTTGGTGGTAGTCACATGCCGAGCAAGGAGATGTTAAATAAATTCTTCAAACTGTAAATATACCATACTCGGCTATGTAGAAACACACGCATATACCACTGATGCATGTCTTGGCAGCTCTGAGCTTGCTTGCACGTTTGACTATCTACCCGGGCCGGCCAGGGAGACCTTGAGATCAGCAGCCACCCAATTGGCTTAGAAAAGCATATGCAGCTCTATCTTACACAAAAGAGAAAGGACCAAGGAATTACAAGTTTAATACGCTATACTGTCTTGGCTCTCCATCCGAGTCCATTCCAGCTCTATCTTCTTTAGCTTAGCAGCAGAGTCGTGTGCTTGCAGCAATAAATAGTACTATACAATTTCCCCGGCCGAGCTGCGCAAAACCATAATTGCCTTGTGGTAGCCGCAGTCACCTGCAGTCCCCATGGAAACGCGTTACACATGTACGTGTAATCAAGAGTACACACGCCCTAGACCATGCAGCTCTGCATATGCCGGGGTCTGGCGCCACCGGGTACTGCCTACTGTGACATTACGCAGCTACGAACTGTGGGTCATTGCGTCATTATTGATCTGCTATGGTTTCCTGCGTCCAAATCCGCTTTCCTTGGGAGACTTTGGATGGTTTTGTGACGTGATGCGTCACGCACAGGCATTGCCTTTGAACTTGCACTGTTGCACGTGAAATCGTTGAGGCTAAGCAGTACGAAAACTCAAATCCAGGCAGCTGGATCATTATTTCACTACGTAATGCATAAATGCAGGCAGTGTGCCGCGCAGGGCACCCATAGCTCCGAGATCAGGAGTTGCACACTCTTGGGGTTATGCACTCTTGCACGATGCAATGCGTAACGGTATGGTGGCGACGGTTGCAAGATGGGGCAAATAATCAGTCATTTTTTGCCGCCCAGGCGGGCATTGCGACGTGTTCCCATACACCCAAAGAAGCATAAATCAGGTCTTTAATGTGTGCTGCTGCAGCTGGTGCATGACCTACATCCAACTGCGAGGAACCCGTCGCCAGAATGATGTTGCAAGATCCTCTCTTAGAAATGGCCTCCCTGATCAGTTGTGCACCTTTCAAGGCAGCCTGCTCTCCACATACAGCTTTGCTGCTGCTCACAACAAATTGCCAGGGAACTGAAGGTCTCGCTCCCATGTCAGAAGCCATCCTCACCGCTAGCGCTAATCGTTCCCCAGTCGATAAGTCTCCGAGCTCACAGACTTCGTCACCTCTCCTTACGCACTGTTCTGGACCACTATCTGTGGACTCGGACCAGTTACTGTGTCACTGTCAGTCTCTCAGACTCAGAGTAGGAATGAGATAGCAGGTCTGTCATAATTACCGTGACAGCTCCATAGTGCTAAACACCTTGGGGACGGACCGGCCTTGGCCATGCCATGCGGCCCACAGGGCCACAGCATGTGGCAACGATGAAAAAAAGAGAAGAAGGAAGGGCCAAGAAGGGTCGTACGTACGAGTATCGATGTCTAGTCTCCTGCTACGTCTACGTCTACGACTGTGTATGTGTAGCTGTGTACAACGGAAATAAAAGCGCCGAGTCGCGAGTATCTAGTATGCGGCCGGCCGGGGATTAGGCCTCCGCGGAATATGCTCGTATTTTTACCGATAATTCCTTTGAGCATTGCTCAAAATTACGTCCGATAATTCCCGTAATTCCACCAATAATTCTCACAATAATGCTTTTTTTCTTCCCTTTTTTGCAGATACCGTACCGCTTACGGGTTTTTTTGCCACTTGTACGGGCAAAAAAATCACGGTTGGCGTGAAACTCGGCTGGAAGCTTTTTTTTTTTCTCTTTTGAAATACCGGGCGATCAACTCATTCAGGATCACAAGCTTTTTGGTACAAATCAGGGTGTTAAAATGGAAAAAAATGAAAAAAAGGGGGCATTGCTCAAATTTTACCGATTATTCCACAAAAATTGCCAATAATTCCCGTTTAAAAAATCACACCGATAATTCCCGAAATTATGCCGGCATATTCCGCGGAGGCCTACCGGGGATCGATCCGTGCGCTATGATAGCGCTAGGCCACAGGATCTACAAAAAAGTAGGAGGCTCAAAAAAAATTGTTGCGCCACACAAATCCTCACGAAAAAATAATTGTTGCGCAAGAGATTTCGCAAGAGTGATGGCGTAATCAAAAATAATTACGTCATCATTACAGCTAACTGAAAATGCATAAAAAGGTTGGCGCGGCTTGTGTTTTTCTGTGTTTTACATGTTGTGTTCTGTTTGAAATTTTGATTTGGACAGGGAACTAACTAATTCTGTGGGATAGGTGAATGAACTAAGCTGTCACGTTGTGCTTCTACAATTAGTGCAACAGTAGTGCTGAATAGTTGTTAGGATGGCCGAGGCAACTGATTCAGAGGTTCCTGAATGCTGGATTAGCAAGGGTTTGTGCGAGAAATCCAGGGAAAAGGCTGCAGCGGAGCTCAATGAAACGGAGGAACGAAAGAAATCTGCTCTTGTTGAAATACGCGAAAAAATTGCTGAATACAGTAAAGAGCACCCCAGCTTCCGCTTTCCAAGAGAAGATGATTCTTTCCTGGTCCGATTCCTTAGAGCTCGCAAGTATGATGTAGAACGAGCGTTCTCTCTACTCATCAACTTCACCACATACCGAATTGATCACCCAGAGCTGTTTGAAGGTGTGACGTTGGACAGTGTACGACCAACTCTGGAGTATTGTCTACCATTCATTCTGCGAGACCGCGACGACGAAGGCCGTCGAGTTGTAATATTCCAGCCGTCCAGGATAGACCCAGAGCGCTATAGCCATGACAGTGTGCAACAAGCAATAGTTTACGCACTTGACGCACTGATTGATGATGAGGAAGCCCAAGTGAATGGCTTCATTTTGATAGAAGACTACTCGAACATGACCATCAGAAAGATCCTGGGATTGGACCAGAGACTGATGAAGCGGCTATCTACCCTTTTCCAAGATGCGTATCCGGCTCGCTTCTCAGGAATGCACTTTGTCAATCAACCGTGGTTCTTCAGCATACTGTGGAACATCGCAAAACCATTCCTGAAGGAAAAGATAAGACAGCGGGTAAGTGACTAGCTTAGGGTATGTCTGCATGAGACTCTACAAAACTGCCTAGTCTGTACACAATACGTGCGAGCGCAGGATGAAAATGTGCACAATCCAGCATTCCAGGTTCTGCTTTGTTGTACATTGCACTGCACTTGAACGACTTGATCTAATCCCCCCTGCGGGAACCCCACTGGGAAGCGACAAGGCATGGGGGGGGGGGGGGGGGATCAACGGTACTTTACGGTATCCCCAGCCAATATCGTGCATGTATGTACTGGGTAGTTGATCCTACGGCAGGGTGGGAATGAATAAGTGTCCGAAATGTTATTCCAAGCGGAAATTTTTGAACTAGACAAGGACTGGATATTTTCAGTGGTGCCGAATCGGCCGCTTCATGAATTATTGTACGCTGTCCGAAAACCGATTCAAAGTATTTTCCGATTTCGACAGTAACCCCACAGATTGTACCGATGTTTGTGAAGCAATATTTAAGTTATGATAGTGAGAGTGGGAACATTTATGTTGCCTTGAAAAATTCACCAGTTATTAACCCTTTATGTACTGATTTCCAGCACAGAATGAAGCAGAATTTGAATTTTCAGCACAATTTTCACCTTCAACAAGTTATAACTTTGGCGTCCTTCGCTCCATTTCCACAGTCTTGGGCTCTTTGGAAAGCTCCTGGCGAGAGCAACGCCAGGATACCAGGCTCCATCAACTAGCTGCCACAAATCAGGCGCAGGAACACAGCAAAGTCGTCTCCAAGCCCAATATGCGAACAAATTTCCCCATCAATGCCATTCCACTCTCCTCTATCGCAGAATGTTCAAATCTTTTCGAGGCGATCCAAACTTCAGCCAACTACATCACTATCATGTGCTGAGTTGGTCAAAGAGCACACGAAAAGGGATTTTCCCCTAAAATGGCAAAAAGATCGATACAAAATTTGAATTTGCCGAGACAAGAATACGGTGCGCGATATCTCTCGATTCGCACATCGTAGCTCTTCGGCGATTGTTGCATTGGAAAGCTTGGAGTTTCCGCTACCAAATAGACCCTTCGATTGTTGAATTCGTACAAGAAATGAGGGAGTTACGAAAGTTTTACGGATCGATCATATGTGATCGATTCACGTACACACCGTACATAAAGGGTTAAAAAGGAAGTTAAGGCTAAAATCAAAATTTCACCAGTTGTAGTCTTCGGGGTGCTGAGTCAAATGGCCTTTATTCCAACTAAATGCACTGCAGCAATCAGTAAAGAACCTACATTACGAAAGGTACGAAGACTGTAAACTAAAACAACTAACTCCAAGAACATGAGAACAACGGAAGATATATAAAACGAGCACGGCAGGACAGTGCGTAGATTACTAAACTATTCATGCTCGGATATGGTACGATGCACATAGAGAGTGTGCTCAGGTTACACACTCAGACATGAATGGTCAAACACTAGACACTGACCTGGATTGGACATCCGTAACAGTGGTCAGCTACGGCTAGGCTATAGCATACAATGCATGTAACAGCCATGAATGAGTCTCAGTCGACCTACCAACCATGACCAGCACTAATGCACTGGACTACAACTATCAAAACAAAAGAAAGACCGGAATATTCTAGAACAAATCTAACATACCTCCCTCACGAACGAAGAGTGATAACTAGCATCTGAGTGAGTCTAAGAAAAGAAAGTGCAAATAACGTAGCAATGAAGTGAACTAACAGACTGCAAGTAGTGTTCACTCAGTACCTTCGACTTCAAGGGGCACAAGCCGATGGACAGCTCGCTTGTAGAATCTCTCAGCCACCTGGAAGCTCTGCTAGCGGCACGATGTGCTCACTGGGCCATGTGGAGGTGGGCTTGGACAAGAAGGCTGGACCTGTCCACCATGTTGCATCATCGGCCAGGTAGTTCTGAAGCACTTCTGAGTAGCGCAGCTGTACAGTAGGATTTTTCTGGAACAGACGGTGTAGCGAGCAGAGCCGCTTCCTGGCGTACTGTTCCGATCTCTGCTGAATCTTTGGCTTGCTACCGTCGCCTCGCCATGGGATGCCGACAACGAACCGTGTGCCGTTGTGGTGGAGACTTTGCACGGTCATTGCGTCAGCCTCACGCTCATCCGGAGTCAGGTAGGATGATGTGCTCTTGGCCTGCATGCCAACGCTCTCGAGGTCCCAGAACTTGTTGACGGTGTTTATCAGTGTACTGTCACTTACAGCCAGTAGTGATTGTTCCGTCATCTCTGATGCGCTGTCAGTCGGACCTTCGCCGAACAGTACCCAGCCCAACGGCGTCTTCCTGGCAATTGGACCTCCCTCACTGCAGAATCGTTCGGCAAGTGAAATGTGCAGCTGCGGCGCATTGAGACCAATCAACAGATCCACTCTGGACTCGTTGCTTGCAGGTACGACGTCACTGAGATGCGGCCAGCGTTTCAGTTCCTCTGTCCAGTCGAAGGCTGGGACGGGACGCATGATGCGCGGAAGCATCCACACTCTGACGGTCGTTGACGACTGGCCATCAGCGTGACATAGTTCAGCTGATGTATAACGCTCCAGACGGAGCTTCTCTCCCCCCAGAACAGCGGTATCCAGCGGGACGTTAGCTTTCGTTGTCTGTAGCCCGAGCTGGCTGACGAGTTCTGTGGTTATAAAGCTGCAAGAAGATCCTGAATCCAGGAAGACGTTAGCTTTCCTTGACCCTGTCGGACCCTTTGCGGTGGTGGCAACAGTCATGAACGCGACAGACTTGGGCTCGATGGTAGTGCCACATGCAGTCTGGGTGTGTGCTGTCTTGTCGGCTGCTGATGCCTCTGTGCTTGTATCCTGGCAAGAAGCTGAGCGGTCCTTGCTGTGTTGACTATTGGCTCCGGTTGTCCGTTGGTTCAACTTCGTGTAGTGTAGCAGGCGATGATGTGGCCTACTACAGATGCTGCACTTGGACTGCTTGCATGACTTTGCCTTGTGGCCTGGGCCAAAGCAGCAGATGCAGACGGGCTTTGGTTTGATGAAGTCCCATCTCTGAGGGATTGTCAACTGCTTGAATTCTCGGCAATCGTTGAGTGCATGGTCTTTGTTGCAGTATATGCAATCGTTGCGGCTGTCTGGGCTCTGGCCACTAGTAGTTGCTACAAACGTACGGTCGGGCCGCTTGCCAAACTTGGCTCCACCACTACTTGGTCGCTGTTCAGCCAGCTCGGCGCCACTCATTCGTTCTTCGACCTGGCGCAGACGCTGGACTCTCTTGAGCAGGTACTCTGAGAAGGCACCAATGTCGCACTGCGAGTCGTCGTGCTTTTCCATAAAGTGTGTCAACACTGACTTGGGTAACTTCTGCGTGACACTTAGGTACAACTCTCGCCCTGGTGTGATGCCGCTGGCGCTGAGATTGATGAGTGCATTCCTCAGCTTTACGGCAAAACTCTTCAACCCGTCGAGGTCTCGCTCATTGACGAGTCGCGGCGCTGACATCAATTCTTTTTCATACCGGTCGATGTCCCGTGTTGGCCCGCCGTACCATGCATCTAGCTCATGCAGTGCGGCATTGTAGGCACCAGGACCATCCACAATTTCGGCAATCAACTCATAGGCGTCACCACCTGTCAGCGCTTCTCGCAGACGTGCAAACTTGTGCCCCTCTGACAAGAATGCATCGTCGTCGATGAGTTGCTTAAAGCGCTGCTTCCACCGGCTGTAATCGTTTGTCTTGCCACTGAAACTCGGCAGCTCTAGTGGTCTCAAATGCTGTCTGGACAGCATGCTGTTGTAAATCTGCAGCTGCTCTGGACCAGACAATACTGCTGCAGAGGGTGCTGGCACTGTGGTAGCTGCTGACTTCTGTGCCCTGTGACTGTATCCCTGCACAGAACTGATGGGTGCAAAACTGGACTGCACAGTCACTGGTTTCCAATTACTGAGTGTGACACCACATGTAACACTAGTACTAGTAGTAGTGGCCACACTGTATGATCTGCCAACACCAGGCCCTAGGTGTGTATTCACTGATGCTGTCACTGGCTGGGTCATGGCAGGTAAGCCATATCTTACTCCTGCCAGTCCTGGTCTGATTGAGCTCACTGGATTGTAGTTCAATGCACTTGGCCCTGGGCCAGGGTTGAGGCTGCTGCGGCTCACCTGAGTGGCTGGATGAATGGTAATCTGCCTCTGGCTCTGGTGAATGGAAGGCTGGGGCCGACTTGGCTGAGCTTGCACAGGCGGCTTAGCTACAGCCAGTACACGACCTGTACTGTTCACACCTTGGTGATGATCCCAGGACACAGAAGCGATCGAGCTGTGGTCGTCAGGAACACTTCCTGTGCCCTGCGCACCTACTGCAGCTCCAGAGCTATCCACACGGTCTACAGGCACAGGCACTGAACCTAGGAAATCTGCCGCCGCAGTTTGTAGATCCACACTGTTACTCAACTGAACCTTGCTGAGGTCAGGCAAACTCTGAGCGCCATTCTCCGGGCCTTGCTGATCTAGATCGCCTTCTTCCTCCGGACGAGGATCTGCGTCAAAGCCAGCACGACTAAGCGTGACAGCTCCTTGTCTGGGTTTACCAGCTCCGGTATCCAGATTGCTGAGCTCCAGCCTACGTAGAAACTGGGCATGACGCTCCAGCAAACTCGTCGTCAATCTTGCTCTGAGTTTCCTTGCCTGCACTGGCGATTGGCATCATTGCCTCGGAGCTTGCAACAGAGTGCCGACTCCCAACGGAGGAGAGTTCAAGTGCAACAGCTGCCTTATCTGCTGCTAGGCGCTTCTGAATCACGTCTCTCTGCAACTCCAAGCGTTTCTTCGCCAGTTGCTCCGCTGTCTCCATCTCAAGTTGAGCCAGCTCCTCAGCCGCTTCGAACTCTTTCTCCGCGACTAAGACCTCTAGTTCAGCCGCTTTGCTGGACGTTCTCAAGGCCTTTGAGACACTGTCCCACTCACCAAGCCTAGAAGGCGGCCTACCCTTCGTAGTTCTCGAGCTAATTCTTTTCTCCGACATCGTCGGATCCGGCTCGAAGGACCAGAAAATGTTCCAACTAAATGCACTGCAGCAATCAGTAAAGAACCTACATTACGAAAGGTACGAAGACTGTAAACTAAAACAACTAACTCCAAGAACATGAGAACAACGGAAGATATATAAAACGAGCACGGCAGGACAGTGCGTAGATTACTAAACTATTCATGCTCGGATATGGTACGATGCACATAGAGAGTGTGCTCAGGTTACACACTCAGACATGAATGGTCAAACACTAGACACTGACCTGGATTGGACATCCGTAACAGTGGTCAGCTACGGCTAGGCTATAGCATACAATGCATGTAACAGCCATGAATGAGTCTCAGTCGACCTACCAACCATGACCAGCACTAATGCACTGGACTACAACTATCAAAACAAAAGAAAGACCGGAATATTCTAGAACAAATCTAACAGCCTTGGTCCGAGGAAGCTGAGACACTCCCTTCCTACTTTAATCCCAATCGAACTCGCGCACTTCCACCGAAACTGGGTGACTGCGCCCTACTAGATGGGGATTTGTATGCAAAATGTCACTAAAAGCGCCATTTCGTTCTTATAAAAGCACGGATGACCACGATTGGCCCATATGTTGTAGTCTTTTGGACGCTGAGTCGACTGGTTTTGGTCCGAAAAGGCTGCGATGCAGCGTTCGGCCCTTTTTCCCAATCAAACATGCTTGAACAAGCGGTCACGTGCTCCTGCGTACACCAGTCAGCTGGTCACCGTGCCTGCAGGGTACAACTTACAGCCTGTTTGACCTTTTTTGGGTGCAGTCCTGTCACTTGAGTTGAACTCGAGTTGAACCTTGGTGTGAAAGTTGTCGCCTGCTGGCGCTGTGACCAGGTGACTTGGGCACGCAGGAGCACGTGACCGCTTGTTCAACCATGTTCGATTGGGAAAAAGGAGGAACGCTGCATCGCAGCTTTCTTGGACCAAAACCAGTCTACTCAGCGTCCAAACGACTACAACATATGGGCCAATCGCGGTCATCCGTGCTTTTATAAGAACGAAATGGCGCTTTTAGTGACATTTTGCATACAAATCCCCATCTAGTAGGGCGCAGTCACCCAGTTTCGGTGGAAGTGTGCGAGTTCAATTGGGATTAAAGTAGGAAGGGAGCGTCTCAGCTTCCTCGGACCACGACCATTCGACTCAGCACCCCGAAAACTACAACTGGTGAAATTTTGATTTTAGCCAATTTTCGGATAAAACTGTATTTTCTGGTCCTTGTTCAGACACACATGCACGGATCAGACTTTGGCAGGCTTCATGAGTTTATCCCCAAGAGGTGTCTCCCGGCTGAAGTTGGAGGTGACAGGCCACCGTATTCGCCGGACGAGCTGCTCGACTTTCTGAGCAAAGTGAAGGTTGACCGACCCCCTGCACGTCAGGTAACTGCTCTCTGAGCAGTAGGCATGGCGGTGACTACAACCTTGAGCAATATCACCTGTGACTGAGCATAACTCTAAGCACACGTAGAACGAAATGAGAAAGTAATGTTTACTGTTACATTGCTATCTTGCACTCTCTTTCATATTTTGGTTCCAGATGCCTCTCCCCCAACATCCCTCACAAGTAGCATTGATATGTTGTCACTAGGTGCGTGGGACAAACATCCTCAATTTTAGGTTATTCCCATTAGTTGTTTTAGAAGTGTTAGTGAGGTTCTGCCGTGTACCTAACCTGGCATGCATGCTGGATAATGTGCCGTGATTTATCCTAGCCTCCTCTTTCGGGAGCTAGTAGGTTCTATATTTTATTTTGATGATTTCAGTACTAAAATATTCATGATTTCATGATGATCTCACTTGAGGGAACTTTCTGTTATTCTATTCTTTTCTTAGCGTATTTTTAAATCACATGGAAACGAGTTATGAAGCAGCTATCCACCATGATCCACGACTGTAACAAGATTATAAGAAATCGGAAAGTGCGATAACAGGGCACAAAACTGTTATTAATTTTAATAATTTTAATTATGTTTACTGCCTCAATATCCATCGCTATCCGAGTATTTTAAATGTAATGTTCTTTCTTCGCTGCCAACACAATTTGATATCTAACTACTAGTATGATTTTGAAACTCGGATGTTGAGCCATAAATATATGTAGAAAGGAAAAATACATTATGGATACGAGTTTAGAGTAACTCTCCATCACTGTAACATGATACTTTATACAGTCAGAAAGTGCAATAACTAGGCACAAAACTGACAGAGTACTGAGACATTCGACGTCCTGGAGCCTACTTCAAGTAGCTTCAACACATCTCCAGGACGTCGAATGTCTCAGTACTCTGTCAGTTTTGTGCCTAGTTATTGCACTTTCTGACTGTATAAAGTATCATGTTACAGTGATGGAGAGTTACTCTAAACTCGTATCCATAATGTATTTTTCCTTTCTACATTTAGTATGATTTTGTTTTACTTTATACAGATGTTTATCCCCTGAGCTTTGCCAAAGATGGACATACAAGTAGGATGCCAGGCCAAGCCAGGGCCCAGTGCACTTTAGTCGTACCGCATGCTTCACATAAGCCATGCGTCAACTTGTTGACCGCTGCTCTGTCCCTCCAGGAAATTGCGATTCCACGGATGCAACAAATTTCGCGATTTTGGCCCAAACTCGCGATTTTCAGCAAAATCCGCGATTTCCCACGTTTTTTTGTTGTTTTCTGCACTATATCTCCCATTTTTATGCACTTTTCACGCAGTTCTTTCCATGATTCTGTAGGTTATTTGCACAGTACGACTCCCGAGTAGATATACGATGCAACAAATTTCGTGATTTGGCCCAAATCCGCAATTTTCTGCAAATAATTCCGCGAATTCCTGGCAAGTTCTGCACCATTCCGCACTTTTCGTCGCATTTTTTGTTACTTTCTGCCGCAAGTTTTCGAGAGTTTTTCCGCAAATTCCCACAGGGACAGCCGCTGCTCCGGATCAAAGGCAAGACTACAGAGTCCAATACATATATGCCAACGGGCATGCCTGCGCATGGCAGTTTACTTTGAGCACCAGAAACAGCTAGATAGACAAGCAGTGAACCACACGTCGACACTTCTAGAGCAAAAGTGCCTAGCTACCGGGTATGAACTGGTATGTAAACAAATGTGTGTTCAGATGGGGTATTCAGCAAAATACATGACTGGGTTAAAATAAACACTGTGCATTCACAGATACGTTCCGGTGACTGATTTCTGCACAAACTCAAGATATTCTTGTGGAGGTGAATTATCTAGGAGACACAATATTGTACTCAAACATCAAGGTTATTCATCGATAAAATAAATATAAAAAAATACACACTCCTAACTTGTTAGAAACTAAGCTCTTTGCTACAGCTTGTCATGGTTGTACCGCTGATAACTATGATAACAGTGCTGTCTGTGCAAACACACTGCACGTGGTACAACATGAACTTGAACACAGTTGTGCAAGCATAGCGGTACAACATGGCTGACGAGAGAGGAGCACAGCTTGCATCACCACTGAAAGCAGATCAGAGCAATGTGAAAACTAGAACATCAGAGCAGTGTGAAAGCTAGAACATCAGAGCATGTTCACATGCAGGGAAGCTTGCCCCCGTCAGGCGAAGCAGCAATGGGCCACGGGCCGGCTCGCTTTGGAAATCCCTGTGTTGGCGTCTTCCATTAATGAAAGACGAATGCGTGGCACCCTTCCACTGCTATAGAACACTAGCTGCTGGCTTGCAAACTTGTTGTCACGGGAGTTTTAACCTGGCGGATAGTCTACTCATCTGTAGCTAGCTAGTCTTGTGCAGCACGGAGGTCGTCGATGTACTTGTATCCAGGTGTCAAGGATTTGTCATAAGTGATCATGGCCTACAGGAAGAATATAGACAGACCAGGCCAGTCAGAACATACCGCTAAGTGCACGGCAAGCAACAGCATGCACAGACAGACTATTTCTGCATGAATAATGATCTCATTGATCTGCTTAGTGTCCGACCTCATGATCATTGATCATGAGGTCGGACACTAAGCAAGATTTACTCATATGATGTCATAAGGTCGCTCCCCACATTAGCAATGCGTGCACATGCTACGAGATTGAGTTAATTCCCTAATACTGATAGCACTACATCGCAGGTAGGGACTCTGAAGAAGCATGCCGTCCACATCCATTATCCTGTTTCATGTACATGTAGCAAATTATACATCCCACGCAGAGGACAATACTACTCACATCTTTCAGCGAGGATGATATCTGAACGTCGTCCAAAGATTTACTCCAATCTGCACGAGCCTGTTGCAAGAAGAAAACAGAAATGCAATAACAGACAATGCAAACCCTTGCACACTACTCCAGCGTTAGCAGAAACGCTGATGCAGCCAGTGCAACAAAATGGGACGGCGCTTGACGTGCACCGTTATAGTACCATGGTACTTGCAGTACTGCATAGCAAAACAAAACTTACGAATACATGCGCCATAAACACGATGCCGTGCGAATCATGTGCACGCGATTCTACCAGCTGAAACCCAGCAAACACATCACAGTGTAAGCCTATCAGTACTCACAAGTTCAGGTACAAATGCCAATAGCTGGTCACCGAAGAAGTCAGTAGCTTCTCTCGGCAGCTGAGCAGGCAAGTTGTCGATCGACATGTACAGAATACCATCTGAAGAGAAGCTGCAAAGACAAAAGAAGAAACAAAGCCTCAACTGCCATGGTTCAGTGTCTATACTTAGCAAAAGTCATGAAGACAGTGGTTCATGGTATGGTATACATGTATGTACACGTACCGTAAATCTGTCCCCGGGGAAAATTGCGGAAAAAAATCGCAAAAAACGCGGGGAAAAACGCGGCATAATATGGCATAATTTGCGGTGAATTTGCGGTAAATATGCGGTAAATAATATTGATGTGCGGCAATTTTCAGTGAGTATGTAGTGAAATCAATCAGTTACAAGTCTCTGGTGTAAACACTCGTCATATTTGAGTAAAAAGCCGCCACGATGAGACGTTGCTGACCGAACAGTGCACTGTGTGTACGTGTAGTGCAACAAAAAAGTTCAAAAAACGCGGGAAAATCGCGGAAAACGCGGTCTTTTAAAAATCCCAAAAAACGCGGAAAAAAACGCGGCCGCGGAATTGCAATTTTCCCCGGGGACAGCTAAATATACAAATTTTCGGCAGCTATTTAATTTCGGCTATATTCGGCACCGACCCAGAACGCCTAAATTAAAACGCCGATGAAATTTTTCACAGCATCTGTCGCACTATACTATGCCCTCTACCCCACGCCGAAAATAAATCGCCGCCGAAATGTCAAAAATCGTGAAGTGCAGCACCCCCTTTTTCGGTGAGAATGTTTGAGTGTTCAAAGTGTGGCTTACCATATTATCTCCATTATAAGCCCCGCGCTTACTTGTATATTTTTCAACCACCTGGTACACGTACATTGTCTATTATTTTTCATTACCGTATATTCTCTATTATAAGCGCCGTGCTTATATTTTTTCAACACCCCTCTACCCCGTGCTTATATTGGAGACCGCGCTTATATTGAAGACTGCGCTTATATTTTTCCAACCAATACAATCCATACAGAGCAAGAAGAAATACATGCTAGATATCATTCATGCAGCATTGATTTCCACCAAGACCGTGCTAATAATAGAGACTGTGCTTATAATGTTTCGAAAGGTGCTCACAGTGTGCTAGTATTAGAGACTGTGCTAGTAATGGAGACCTGTGCTTATAATAGAGAATATACGGTATATCAGTAGCACAAAGTTTCCCAGCAGGTACCGGGACTGCAGTTTTGTGCTTCCTGGTACACTGAGTCTGAACTTTAGATCTCGGGGATTCCAGACTTTTACCACAGCATGTGTTTATGTGATACTGTGTGACGTCAAACATGTACGGACATGATCCATACAGTTCTCCATTATAACTTATAAGCCCTGCGCTTATATTGGAGACTGCACTTGTATATCTTCGAGGCCCTCTTGGAGTGCGCTTATAATGGAGACTGGGCTTCTACAAGAGACTGCGCCTGTAATAGAGGTAATACGGTATACTCCGGAAATACGGTACTACTGTACTTCAAAAGTGGCATACTTACTCTGTTGTGTAGTTGTCAGACTCGGCATCATAGATTTCAAACATGTTGTCGAGCGTTGTACTCCTGGTAATGAATTCAATAGAACCCTGAAACAGAGAGCATGCACACACTCATAATCATGTCCGAATTCTAAAACAGCCCAATTTACAGAGCACATTTCTAAGGCATCTACCAGCACACAACTCGCTGTGTTTCTCACAGTTAGAGACTTAGAGCACTCTGACTTGGATTCCTTGAGCCGGGCTGAAAATGCTTTGTTGCTCACTACACCTCATTCGGTTAGCCAATCTAAGCTCCTGCTGACGAGATCTAACAAGGAGGCTGAAACAGCTATCTGTCCGAAGATTGAGCATCCACACACACACATACACACACACACACACACACACACACACACACACACACACACACACACACACACACACACACACACATGCACACGTATTTCAAGACGTGTATTCCACTTCAAATACTGGCACTTACACCCAGATCACAGCTGATATCACCAATAGCCAGAAGACGACTGGGCATGCCTCCAAGGCCATGATGCACTGGTCCCCTCTTCTGCAGCAGGGGGTAGATGTTCTGTTTTGTTAATAACCTAGCGTGTGCAGGCGTCCAGTAGATACCATTCATAAGTACGGACATGTGGGGAGCAACCTGAGCAAATGTAAGACACAACAACAACAACAACAACAACAACAACAACAACAACAACAACAACAACAACAACAACACAACAGCGACAACGACAACAACAACCACAACAAATTGGCGATGGTGCCATCGTGAGAATAAAGAATTCAAACAGATAACATATCCACCAAAATGACAGTGCATAGCGTGTTTGATTCCTCTGCATTGCATCACTGTACACTGCACACATGCCATGGTATACACTTGTGCTCAACAACATTAAGGCTCATGAATAAGTTATCGCCCTGCACCAGTGGACAACGCAGTGTTCGAAGGCCTCGGGCTACGTAGTGCTTGGTTCTCTAGCCGATTCATGATCCAAAGTTCATCGAGCAGCACAACTGCTGCACTGTAGGTATCAAGACAAGGACCTGAGTAATACAATCAGGTCACAATAGAGAGTAAGCCCTGACTGATTACCTTCTCAACAAAATTGGAGGAATATCTCTCTGGGAATTCTAGGAACTCCTCATCATTGTATCCACCACCTTCTGTGCGGTAGAGGTGATCAAAACGATCCACAATGCACCCGTAGAAGCGACGGTTATCTGCACACATTGAGCACAGTCATGGATATGCATGCCACATGTACATACTTGATTACGGCCTACTATGACTAACTGCTAACAGTTAGCATACACTACTAAAGGTAGGATGTCAAGCATACCCATTCGGACTGCTGAAACAAGGACGTGAGGTCAGGATACATCAGGAGATAAAACGTTAAAGCATTGACATTTTGGAACAATGCCCGTACCCACCATATCTCCTGCTTGTCATTCCTGTGACCTCGGCAAACATGAAACGCGCAAAATGAATGCTGAAGTTCATCAAGATAGGTGATGTGCGACCGTAAAGCCTTACAAAGTTGGGATGTACAGTCAACTTTGCGAATAACGACATTTGGCGGGGCATCAGAAAAGTGTCCTTATTCGCGAAGTGTCCTTATACCCGAAGTCCCATTTGAATGTATGTGAACCCATATTCTGTATAGTATGATATGCATATCAAAATGAAGCTCTTTTCATGTTCTATGCCAATGTATACTTTATTTTCATATTACAATTGAAAGGAACTATACAGTCAATATGGAAGGGAAATAGATTGAAAAATTAGCCTTTGGAGCCATCTACAGCCAGTACAGGGACATGTACAGTACATGTATGATGATCACTGTACAATCATGTACAACTACCGGTACATGTACATGTAGCTGTGCTGATCACTCCAACTGCATGTATTGAGAAGCAAAATAAAAAACAAAAGCACCCCTCCCCCCCCCCTCCTGGCTGCATCTTCTTGCATGTGTGCCTTTATCCATCGCCATGGGTTCTGGTGCTTCTGCATGACAGGTACTTGAAATAGCTGTCAAAAGCCCAGAAAGTCGTTGTTCACGCAGTGAATATGACCTCGGGGGCACTAAAAGCATGTCGTTATTCGCGAATTGTCGTTATTCAGATAGTCGTTATATCCGAAGTTAAATGTATACAGTTAGATGGGACTTTGCTCTGGGCATGGAAATTCTGTCGTTATTCGCGAATTGTCGTTATATCCGCAGTCGTTATTAGCGAAGTTGACTGTACAATATGACATGTATTCAATTAGAAATACTGCAAGTGAGTATGCACTGTCGGCGGCAAAATCTTTTTATTATCTTACCTCCGGACTTTGCAACAGCTTCCAAATCCTTTGGCTGGATCCATTGAACTGGTAGCTGCTTAAACACCTCTTGGGCACCCTGATGAAAGAAATAGGAAGAATTTGTGCATGGTGAGAAAGATCGAGGTTGCTGTAATATAGGACAGCGAAACAGGAAAACACTGTGTGCAATTCTGCAATGGTGGCCAGTGAATTTCAAGGCAGTGCCACGCTCAAGGGCACAATACAACAACAAAATGGGCCAGTGCTCGTAGTGCAGTACTATATGGTGCTATTTTTTTAAATCCTTCCAATGAACGTCCAACCTGCAACACGCAAACAGTTCTTGGGTACACCTCGCGACTCAATTTTGTCGGGAGTTTCATCCAGGAGAGCATTAATATCAAGGATTATTCGTGATCCTTTGGGTGAAAGTCAGAGGGGATAGTTAGCAGCTTCCAATGTGGGAGAGTATGATCCTTGCTGTCAAATCGCCCAGTATCAAGTCCGAAAGAAGAAGCACACTCCCGACATTGGAAGCAACTAACTATTCTACAGTCATTGTCGAAACCGCCAACTATTTCTGTACAGAAGGGGATTTTAACAGCTTAAATTGTTCCAAGCAGAACCTTGGAAGTCAAAAGTGCTGAGTCCAACAAGAAGCATGGCAATCAGTAAGCATCCACAAGGATCTGTACCAGCAAGCAAGCAAGCATCTCAAGTCAAGACGTACCCGGGATACATTGCCATTTCCCGAGAAGACGAACGTCAGTGGATGCATACTCTTTGGCATCAGGCCGTACTGAATCTCGCGACCGACATTGGCTATGGCTGCCTTCGCCGCACTTGTACTGGAGTAGTTATGAGCACCGCCGATATGCTGAACAGCATGAAAACAGCACAGCAAGAACACAATTAGGAACTGAGAAAGAAAAAATTGAAATTGTCAAATCCGGCATGAAAGGTAACAACAAGACTACTGACCATCTGTGCCTATGTACTCTTGGTAGCAAGTATTATCAAGAGTACATAACCCCCCAGAGTGTGCAACTCCACTATGGGTGCTGTCCCGACAGAATTTCAAGTTGACGTCATTTTGATGATGCAATGCGCACTGTACACGGATTATCAGACGAATCCGGAACCTGTGGTTGACCGAAGCCGATCGATCCTGTACAAATTATTGCAAAGAAAAACGTGTGATGCGTTGACACCCGTACACATGTTGTAAATCACTGCTGCAAGGAGCATTGCGTCATAAATAATGACGTCAACTTGAAATTCTGTCGGGACAACAGGGTATGTGGGAGTTGCACACTCTGGGGGGTTATGTACTCTTGGTATTATGTAGTAGCACCACCCAACAGATCAGTGCCTTGGTTCTTCCATGTGTGACAGCTGACACGGCGGCAGTCGACTGGAGCCAATACCAGGATGCTGGACGCATATGCACGACGTCCAATTCCAGCCACAAACAGGCAAAATAATATATTATTGCCATCTTGAATTCAACCCACCATAAGAGGAGTGTGGAATCCAAGGGCCAAAAGTCGCAGTCCCACACCATGCAAGATGTTGATCATACCTGCATAGAAACCAGTCCACGAAGAAAGACTCATCAATTCATGGCCTAGGTGCTGGTCAGTGTGGGTAGATGACCAGAAACTAGAATAATGACGTACGCATGCTACTACCCTACCAGCAAGTAAACACTGTATGCGGGGCTTATCCTGGTATGTTTGCCCAACCAAAAAACAACGTGCTATAGCCGCCAAACTGTCTTGCTGCTACTGTTATGCAGCAACATGTACATTAACCCTTTATTACCGGCCTGCAGACTTTCGATCATATATGATCGAAAGTCTGTAGGCCAGTAATATCTTCGTAACTCCATCATTTCTTGTGCGATTTCAACAATCGAAAGGTCTATTTGGTAGCAGAAACTCCAAGCTATCCAATGCAACAATCGCCGAAGAGTTACGATGTCGGACGCCTGAGATATCGCGCGCCGTATTTTCATCTCGGCAAATTCAAATTTTTGATCGATCACTTCGCCGTTTTTGGGGAAAATCCCTTTTCGTGTGCTCTTTGAGCGACTCAGCACATGATAATGACGTAGTCGGCTGAAGTTTGAATCGTCTCAAACAAATTTGAGCGTTCTGCGATGAAGGAGAGTGGAATGGCGTTGATGGGACGAATTTGCTTGCATATCAGGCTTGGAGACGACTTTGCTGTGTTACCGCGCCTGATTTGTGGCGACTGGATAATGGAGCTTGGTACCCTGGCGTTGCTCTCGCCAAGAGCTTTCCAACGAGCCCTAGATTGTGAAAATCAAGTGAAGGAGACCAAAGTTATGACCTGGTGAAGTTGGAAATTGTGCTGAAATTCGTAATTCTGGTGCATGCTGTGCAAGTAATCCGGTAATAAAGGGTTAAAACCTGCCCTAACCACACGCCTTTGGTGCAGCGAAAACTGTCCTAATATGACAGGATTCCGCTTGATCCAGGGATTCAAGTTAGATCCACGGCACTTTGGTGCATGAAAATTTGTCCGGTCAATACAGGATTCTGCTTGATACAGGGTCCGGCAAACGCAGATTTTTGCTGCACATCTTCTCTTAGCAACGTCCACAGTACATCCTTAACGACCGATGGGCCGGACTTACCTGCAGTTCCAGCAAAGTGGCCAAATGCAACAATACGCTGACCACTCTCGGCGAGGATCTTTTCATAATCGAGGATGCGCACATTCTGTAGCCGTGTATAGAACAAGGGAGAGAAGAGAAATTAGGTGAGTGACATACTACACGTACAGTGCCAATGGAAGGTCAGTATATACTATAAAGTAACATACAACATACTTTTCTGTTTGCATTGGATACAGAGTACTTTTTGAAGACTGCAAATTATCCTTTTCAAGTCATTTGACCTCTGATATAGAGTAGCTCAGCCATAAAGTACTGATTTTTGTCCCTTGGAGGTATGCTATACTGAATGGTTCACTGTGTATACCGTCTTTTCCGGAGCATAAGCCGCACTTGAAATGTAGCAGCTATGAGACTCGCTTCAAGCGGAGAGTCATCAAAGCTGTAGAGGAAGTAGGCAATCGAGCTGCTGACCGTAAATTCAGCATTGATGATTCCATGGTTCGAAAAGAAACAATCAAAGCTTCCTCGCTCGTGCATGAGGAAGTGTGGTTATCCAAAAGTTGTCCTTATTCGTGAGGTTGAAAGCATGTAGCCACACGGTCACTGGGCCTAAAGATTGTGTCGCTATTCACGAGTTGTTGCTATACCCGGCGCCGTTATTCACAAGGTTGACTGTACAGTAGGGGTGAAACAATTATACCGAATACTCGAGTACTCGCTCGGGTTTTTCAAAAATAATCGTACTCGGAATAAATCAGAGTACTCGTTCATACATGGTACATGCATTTACCACAGAAATCTGCAACTTCAGAGCAGCAGTCGGCAGATATTGATGTGCAGACTGTGTGGTGAGCATTTGTTCACGAGTAGAAAGAGCCAAAATGACCCACCAACCAATATACCCGAGAAAAATGACTGCCACTCGGTTCAATCTGGATTGTATCATGTGATTTTAAGGCCATCGGTGTGCAATTTTTAGGAGATGAAGAATACTCGAATACTCGAATATTCGATCGGAGAAAATCAGAGTACTCGAACTCGGGATCTCAGTGCCAACTTTCACCCCTACTGTACAGTAAGACCTGGTTTAAGCGACCACCCCACGGTGCAAGCAAAAGCGGTCGTTAAAGCCAGGTGGTCTTTAGAACCAGGTCCCATACATTTGTGGTATATCGGATTATGCATACATGTGCATGATTGTACTTCCAAGTACTCATATTGACAGGTGTGGAGCATAGAATACTCTCGTGCAGGCAAAGCACACCTCACTGGAGTGCATGCAGCGCATTCTGCACTGTCACTTGTCACTTCAGCTGACTGCATCCACTAGCTTCAGAGTGCACTTCAACCCTGTTGCAGTCAACTCTGCCAGCCAAGATGGCACTTTTGGTTAGTTTTGGTCGCTGTGTGCAGGTCCAATATGGCACTTGGTACACAAAAAGTCGGTCGCTGGTCGTGCAAGGCAGGTGGTCGCTGTATCCGGTGCAGTTTCTGTATAGAACTGTCCCTGCATGGAAAAACGGTCGTTAAAGGGGAAGTTAAGGCAAAAATCAAAATTTCACCAGTTGTAGTCTCCGGGGTGCTGAGTCGAATGGTCTTGGTCCGAGAAAGCTGAGACGCTCCCTTCCTACTTGAATCCCAATCGAACTCGCGCACTTCCACCGAAACTGGGTGACTGCGCCCTACTACTACTAGATGGGGATTTGTATGCAAAATGTCACTAAAAGCGCCATTTCGTTCTTATAAAAGCACGGATGACCGCGATTGGCCCATATGTTGTGGTCTTTTGGACGCTGAGTCGACTGGTTTGGTCCGAGAAGGCTGCGATGCAGCGTTCGGCCCTTATTCCCAATCGAACGTGGTTGAACAAGCGGTCACGTGCTCCTGGGTGCCCAAATCACCTGGTCACCACGCCAGCAGGCGACAACTTTCACACCAAGGTTCAACTCGAGTTCAACTCGAGTGACAGGACTGCACCCCAAAAAGATCAAACAGGCTAGTAAGTTGTACCCTGCAGGCACGGTGACGAGGTGACTGGTGTACACAGGAGCACGTGACCGCTTGTTCTGTCCCCCGTGAATTCCGCGGCAGAATATCAGAAATTCCGTGCAGAATTCTGCGGCTGAAAACAGTAAATTCTGCGCTAATTCTGCAAATCCTTGTATATTCTGCGGCAATTCTGCAAGGAAAATGAGCGTAAAAACAGATTGAATTTCCGTAACCCCACCGAAGTTTGTTGTACCCATAAATTCCGAACCGAAAATATGCGAAATCCTGGTCCAAAAGAATTGAAAACTCCACAATATACTGCAAGTTGATTTTGAAAGTCACAAGCAGGTTGGTTTGGCTGTGAAAACACATCGAAAGTCTCCAGGAAAATCAGGTATTCTCTCTTTTCTGCAATATTCCGCGGTATTTTCTGAATTCTGCGGACACTACTGGATTCCGCAAAAATTCTGCAATCCGCGGAATCGCGGAATTCACGGGGGACAGCTTGTTCAACCATGTTCGATTGGGAAAAAAGGAGGAACGCTGCATCGCAGCCTTTTCGGACCAAACCAGTCGACTCAGCGTCCAAAAGACCACAACATATGGGCCAATCGCGGTCATCTGTGCTTATATAAGAACGAAATGGCGCTTTTAGTGACATTTTGCATACAAATCCCCATCTAGTAGTAGTAGGGCGCAGTCACCCAGTTTCGGTGGAAGTGCGCGAGTTCGATTGGGATTCAAGTAGGAAGGGAGCGTCTCAGCTTTCTCGGACCAAGACCATTCGACTCAGCACCCCGAAGACTACAACTGGTGAAATTTTGATTTTTGCCTTAACTTCCCCTTTAAGAGCAGATGGTCACTAAAGACAGAGGTTGCTTACACCAGGTTTTACTGTACTTTGTGAACCACATGTAGTATCGTATTCTGAGTCTCACACATAGACCTTGCCTCCCTTCAAACACTACAGCCTTTGGCTAGTTCCGGCATCTTTTTGATTAAGATGGTGCATGTAGGGGATTTTCTATACTTGTACTTAACATCAAGAGTACATAGCCAAGAGTGTGCAACTCGACAATCCCCCAGCCCATGGCAGCATATTTTATGACATCTGTCTTTCGCAGCTATTTGATCCACCGCAAATAACTTGCGCAGCGCAGCTACAATAGTCGAAGCAGAGCAATGGACAGATCAATATGTCCTGAACATGATCAACTGAGACCGTATCTACAAGACAAGCGCTGAAAAGCATACCGTTGTTCCGCGCATATAAGCCCATGGGCCTATATCCGGATATAAGCCCACCTCCGTTTATAGGCCCATGGGCTAATAAACAGACCCAAACACCGTAGTACAGCATGTCAGTGCAGACTACATTACCAGTACCGGTACCTATGGTAGGCGGACAACCGCGCACAGACTTGTACTTTTTCGCGTGCCAGCTGCCTTCAAAATTCGAATATAGGCCCAGGGCTAAAAAACGAACCATTATTACTGATTTATTTTCCCGGAAAATGCATTATTTCGTATATTAGCCCATGGGCTTATATGCGCGGAACTACGGTACGTACCTGATCATGCTTCAGCCAAAAGTGACACAATAATATCTAGTTCAAGTAGTAGTTGCACACTCTTGGTTATGTACTCAGGATGTAGCAAGGTAGTGTGAGCTGTAATATTAGGTCTGTGAACATTTTCTCAATCATATTCCCACACACACCTTTTCAATGCAACCATCAAGTAGCGGCATACTGCTTTCTTGTGCCTTGATCGTGTGCGAGAAGAATGCGACCGTCTTATTCGACAGCATTTCCAGGCATTCTACGGGCATAGCTTTCACGCCAAGGATAACATCAGCAACCGACAGATCCTCGCTAAGCTCAGCTCCAGCGTCGATATACTCGAACATGCTATAAGCACGTCGAGTTGAAGGTTGAATCACCACTTGAAATCCATCCCTCGTCAGTGTTCTAACGTGGTGAGGAGCCAGAGGAGCCCTTCTTTCCCAAACACTGCTTTCCTCTCGTCTTATTCCAATGCATGGCTTGTTAGTAGGACTTGAGGATAAGTGACGGTACGAAATCCGCCAGGGCTGTGACCCAGACCGACAAAATGCCATGGATCTGGTAAAACATGCCATGGCTAGCTCCACGTCCCCAACCTCTTGGATAAAATGTAGTTCCCGTAGAGAACAGTCAGTAGATTCTTCTGCTGCTAAAAAAACTGTGTTCAGACAGAGTCTGATTCAAATAAATGTAAAATCAAACGAAACAACACAAACAAAACAGCAAAAGGTGCCAAGCCTGGCCCAAGCTACAAAAATCTGCAGCCCCACGTGCTTTTTGGGGGTGTGTGTCTGATCTGTAGATCTATCTACGACCAGTACTGCAGTAGTGCAGCAGTACAGTCCCATGCCAGTGTACTGTACTTGTATTGACTCTACGTCTGTGGTGACGGTGTACGTGTGTACATGTGCCGATGATGTGCATGTGGTGTACTGAGTCTGTGTACTCACTGTAGGATGCTGCTGAGCATGCAGCGTAGACCAGGTAGACTCTACGAAGAGACTGCACTGCGCTGCCTGGGCTAGCGGCTACGAAAAATCCGACTCGTACCGCGTCGTCGGCGTCGAGCGCCGTCCGCACGACGCGACGCCAGTTTTCAGTTCCCGTTCGAGCGCTCTTTTCAGCTTTTCTTTTCCGCTTCTTTTTTGTTCAATTATTTTTTCTTGCCAGTTTTTTTTAGTTCATGCGGCATAGATCTACGATCGGGTGTGGATCCGGATCGATCTTCGCAGTTCTGCAGGTAGTTCAGCCTTCAGGTTTCATGTTCATCGACATCGTTGATAAGTAAGTAATGACTGATTGCATAATGATGCTGTCAGGGAAGTAGATTGGTGGCATCTGGCAGCGTGTTGCTTGATGTGCAATCAACGAGCACTGAGTGTGGCCATTTCATCAGTTTTGGATTGCATCTTTGCTTTGCAATCTTGAATCCGGCGGTGTTGGATGGACTTGATTGCTAGTTGCAGGGCTGCAGAAATATTGTGAGTCTGACGAACACACACACACACGCGCGCGCGCGCGCGTCGTACACATCTTTTATAAGCAACCCCATGGTCTGCAAACCGTGAGACTCTCGTTATCGCCCAAGCGACTGAAGAGAAGCATTCCGTTCAGCAGTGTCTGAACTGAGGCTGCGTTTACACGACAACGCTGGGGGCGAAAACGCAACGAAATCCTTTCGGATCCATGGTTCATTTACACGGTACGCGGAGCAAAACGTAAAAGTTGTACACCAAAACGGAAGAAAACCAAAACGCTGGCCAAGGTGGAAGAATTTGAAAACGGAAATGTTCTGCCGGATAAATTTGGGTGTGTAAACAGTCGAAACCAGGTCGAAACGGTGTGCTGGCCTCGTTTTCCGTCACGTTTGTTTCGTTTTCGGCCGTTTACACGGATCCGACAATCCAAAAAATTGTTTTTGCAATTTTCGTCATGTGACGTGTGTTGTCGTGTGCCTGTTTTCAACTATTACTTGAGTGTGATTGGTGCTTCCACGGCAACACTTGGCACATGACGAACTTTGGCGGATCCTTTGCTCTCGTGTAGACGCTTGAAAACGGTACAAACGGAGACCACCTCGGATCGGCTTTGATCGTGTAAACGTACGAAAACGAAAAAAGAAATGCGGGACTGAAAACGGAAAACTGGCCGTGCGTTGTCGTGTAAACGCAGCCTGAGTCAGCAGTAGCAGCTGAACATTATTTATTTGAAGTGGGTTCTTCGTTGTGTTGTTGGAGTTTTTGGTCCCACTTCGAGTACAAGTCGTAGTGCAAAACGCAAACTATTCATTTCTAGTTCTCTACACCAGTCTTGGAAACCATGAACGTGCCAGGGCTGGAGAGTTTTCCTCGTGCTTTGGTTGCCTTGGAGACGTTAGCTGCTGAGCTCGGTCACGTTGTTGGATCTCTTGCAGTGACATGTGAATCCCTTGGCAACTGTGGGGGGAGCTATGGCGAGCTGCGGCGCTTAATATTGACGGATCGGGAAAGTGGTAAGGAAGTGTTGCGTCTGGTCGTAAAAACCATCTCAGAGACAGAGCACAAACTGATGATCTCCAGAGTCATCGGTCTGGCCAGAGAAGCCGTGTTCTTTAGCAGTATTGCCAAAGACTTTCATCAATGCATTGGTTTACCCAAAGTCTACTACAGCGAGGGAGATGTGGTGACTGGGCGCAAGGTTATCATCATGGAAGAGTTGTCCAATGTCACACAGAGTGGCTACTTCTTTGGCCCTGGGTCGCCGCTGAATCGGGATAAGGACCTGAGCGCTCTTGTCGAAAATGCTGGCAGTCCTCCGCTGAAAGATGTCATCAAGGCCACGTTTGCGTCGGCCGCACGGCTGCATGCCAAGTACTGGATGGATGAAAGTCTTCTAGAACACTCCTGGCTGCGAGGCGCAGCATGGCTTCAGGATAGCGGCAAAGAGCAATGGAAGGGCTCACAGCAAGTTGCGGCTGATTCCTGGAAGAAGTTCCAAGACAAGCTTGAGCGAGGAGAGAAATGTACTGTTGATTGGCCTGACGACCTGCGTGCGATAGTCAGTGCGTCGGTAAGCAAAATCAGCTGGGAAACGTTCTCCACGTGCGGTCGTCCATGGACATTGGTGCACGGTGACTTCCATCCAGCCAACATGATGTGGTGTCATGACGCACTATCATCTAGACCTGGTGGCACCGCGGATGGAGAAGGTAAAAGAAAAGTTGTACTTCTCGACTGGGAGTTGGTTGGCCTCGGTTCTGGCCCACAAGACATTGGCCAGTACATGATCTCGCATATGGAGCCAGTCACGCGCAAGCAGCACGAAGAGGAGCTGGTACGCTACTACTATGATGAGCTGATGGCTGCGGCACGTCCTGACGATAGTCGACTGTCGGCGTATACGTGGGACGAGTGCTGGCAAGAATACATCACTGGGGCTGTTGGACGTTGGATGTGGTTCCTGGCTTACTTCTCATCGCACGGTAACGATGCAATGCAGGAGTTCTTTGTTGGACAAGTCGGCACGTTTATGCATGACCATGGCATCACGGCAGATACCGTATGCCAGCCCCGGTCTTAGGTCACACTAGCAGTTCAATGCCAGTAAATTTTTAGAGTTTCCGCAGCATGCTGGAACATGCTTGCCTGGAATGTTATCAATGAAACTCCACTCAGTGAGCACTTGGAAAGAGCGTCTGTGATGTGCCTTGTTCTTATACCCATGCATGTTTACTTGCCTTTGTGTTCCCCATATGATCATAGTGTGCTGTATCAATGGTACCAGTATGTATACTGTATCCATGGTAGCAGGAACAACTAACTACTCTCTGGGGTGTGCAGCCACCTCGCGCAGTGCCGGCCCAATAGAATTTTCAAGTTGATGTAACTTCTAGGACGCAATGCCCCTTGTGCACGTATCTCAAGCACTCGCACAAGCGATTCAACCCGCATTTGGTGTATGTCAAGTGGTGTCGGCCCTAATCGGACATTGCGCTGATGTTTACTATGCTGATGCTATTGGATATACCCAGGAGTCAAGCATGTACATGTACCCTGGAACCGACGGTCAGTCAAAGTACAGGCCGATAAATTTATAATGTGTGGAAAGATGGTTGTCTTTCTCTGTAGCGACATGCACGATTTGTTGAGTCTACAAGTAGGTGCCTGCCGCCACACGCGAAGGTACCTACAAGGCCCTCAGGGAACTCACTTGAAACATTTTACTTCTCTCAACAAATCGGTGTAGCTCTAGCTACGAAGCAAGACGACCATTTTTCTGCACAACCATTGTCTTCCGGTGTGCTTTTGCTGACAGTTCCAGGGTAGTGTCTACATGTACAACATGGCCATTGTACTTGTAGATGCTCCAAATAAGCTGCACTTCGAATGATGTCAACTTTAAACTCTGTAGTGTCAGGGGTAGTGTTGAAACTTCATAAGATGACATGGGTGACCATGTTAGGGAGGATCCACCGAGTCCGCTATCAGTAATCCACAACAAGGCCTCGGAGTGATCATGGTGATGGAGCAGGACCTTTCCGTTTCTAACAACTTGAAGTGAAACTTGGAGTTGCTACACAGCTCCTCCCCCCCCCCCCTCTCTCTCTCTTCATTCTGTGCATGGTGGTGACGGATGGATGGGGACGCATGAAAGGTCCGGCAATACACTAATAACGGACTACAAGACATACGTATAATCTCTCTACCGTCACCCAAACAGTACCGGAAATGTCTAATTGACAGGATTGAGCAAGTCATCAAGCGTATGTGGTGGGCTGCCTTGTTCTACCTCAACGGCGAGAATCGCGAAGAGGAGCAACCAGAACGCTTCGGCTTCAAGAGCAGGACATGTCCTCCGCAAGTCGATGAACTGAAGGTCTTTGAAGAGGACCTCATTCGCGTGGCTGAAATGGTCAGCTTCCGCCAACTATCAGACAGCCTCCAAGACGCTACGAGAAAAGACACGAAAACGATCAAAAATTCTAAGGACATCGTCGTGAAAGCCGAAAAAGCCCGGAATTTGTACTACAAGTACCAAAAGAGCAATACAGCTAGCTGATGTGAGAGGCGAGGGAGATCGCTGAGGGTCTAGATCTTCACAACAGGATGGACGTACTGGCCAAGTCAGAAGCATTTATAACGCTGAAAGATCATAAAGACAACTTTGCTAGAGTGCTGCCCTGCAGACTCATTAACCCAGCCAAGTCAGAAGTGGGTGTGGTGAGCAAGGCTATACTGGAAAAGATCGTTGCTGCTGTGTGTCGCCAAACGGCCGTGAACCTATGGAGGAACACCATGTCAGTGATCGAGTGCTTCAAGGAGATATCCGACAAACAGCGCCACACGTTCCTATGCTTTGACGAATGACGTGGTAGAATTCTACCCGTCAATTGGTGAGCAGCTCCTCTGTTAGGCTTTATCGTTCGCGGAGCAATTCACCACGATCGAGCTACGTGAAATGGGCATCATCCTTAAGTTCACGCCCGGAAATCGCTCCTATTCCATGATGGCCGCCCGTGGATGAAGGCCAAGGGCGACATGTTTGACGTAACAATGGGAAGTTACGATGGCGCCGAGACCTGCGAACTGTTACTTGTGGGCGCCTTTCTTCTCAACCAGCTCTCAAGCCACGTCGATAGATCCGCTATCGGCCTCTATAGAGACGATGAACTGGCCGCTCTCAAGGACACCAGCCCGCAGGCTGCAGACCGCCTCAGAAAAAAAGCTGACGGAAATCTTCAAGCGCTTCGACCTAAGAATTACCATCGAAGCGAACTTGAAGGTGGTGGATTTCTTGGATGTCACAATGAACCTGAAAACAGGGAAATTTCAACCCTCCCGAAAGCCAAAATTAATGGCAACCCGCTCTACGTCAGCAAGCAGTCCAACCGCCCGCCTGGGATCATCAGTCACCAACATCCCTGCTGCTGTCAACAATCGTCTTTCGGAGTCGGGCCGGGGCGGTGCATGCAGGCTGTCGTAATAAAACGACTCATCCGTGTTCCATTCCCGTGCATGGCACATGCATGGTGCGACGGCACAATGACAGCTGTCGCAAATCACACTGAGTATTACACTTGTTTTTTGGTGATTTCTGGTTAGCTGCTAGCTTTTCCCTACTCGAAGATGTTGCCGACGCGAAATCTGGGGGTTTGTGTTCGTCCTGGCGAAAACCGTGTTTTGATCCGTTGAGGGAGACGAGAGATACAGTGCGAAGACGTACGATCTGTCCGAGAATCGGCGAAGAAGAAAGCTTCGCAGACTACCCGTAGTGGTTGGGAACAGAATGGAACATATACCAGTCGATGCCTGTCATGGTAGGGATGACTGCTACGAAGTTTTAGCCCCATGCTCCCCAGCGCTTTTTAGCGCCCGACGATAATTACCAAATTTCATCGATTTTCCATGTTGATCAAAGCATAGTCGCCTCAATCTTCTCCAGTCAAGCTGAGTCTGGACGCTACAATGTCGAGACGCGAAAAGAGAACATGCATGAACACACAGGAGCATCACATGCAGCTGCATTCTGCCTTGACGAAGCTGAGAACAACACCAGCACCACGCATTTGGAAGACATTTCGAAGAAGACGAAGAACTACATATCTGCGTTCAAAAAAGCCTCTGTACTGTGTGTGTGCATGCAGTATGCATGCATGCATGCGCGAAGCACGGGGTCCGCGGATCAACTTCGTTCAAAAATCATTGTGCTACACGGTATGATTTGTGTGCGATCATGGTCTTTCTTCTTGACAAACAAAAGTGAAGTTTTTCGATCTTCAAATCGCCATAGCGTCCTTGTCATGACTCCAAATCAGCTGAAACTTTGCAGGAGGAATGATAATGCATGCTGAATCGATTTGTACCATTTTCGAAGGGTTTCCTTGAAAAATAAAATTTAGCCTGCACAGTTCCACTATATCAAGCGACACGGAGGCATTCAACCACGCAGCCCCCGTGTACCAGAGCGCATTAAAGGCCAGTGGATACAATGAAGTGCTGAGCTTTCAGCCCGAAGCACATGAGCAGAGGGGCAGGAGGAACTGCAGCCGGAAGGTCATTATGGTTCAACCCCCCTTAGTACTCCAAGAACGTCAGTACAAACGTCGTTGGTAGTTGGTATTTTCTGAGCCTTGTCTCTAGGCTGATAAAATTTTAATATGGTGGTAAAGACACACCTGGCAGTATGGCGGTAAACACACGCGTGTGTGCATTGTCTCTAGGCACTTCCCGAAAACATCCAAGCTCAGGAAGATTTTCAATCGTAACGCCCTGAAAGTGAGCTACAGCTGCATGCCCAACATGGGTGCGGTGATCAGCAGCCACAATAAGAGTAGCCTGCGAGAGCCAGAGCAAACCAAGACATGCAACTGCAGAGTCAAGGAGTCCTGTCCGCTGCGCGGGGAGTGCCAGGTAGGCATATGCGGATATACTAGTAATGCTGGCAGAAAAATTGGCAGAATTCGGTACTTTTTCTGGTAAGTTTCATGCATGTTTGGTATGTGAATAAAGAAATGGAGCAGAATTCGAGGAATTGCCCGCCATATTGATAAGGGTTGTATGGTTCTGCCAATTTCACTGCTTTTCGAGCAGCCTGAGAATCTGCCACCTTTTCGAGCCTAGTGCCAGGTCAAGGAGATAGTATCAGTTGTCTGATGATTGCCTAGCGGCATGAAACTCAGAGTTACAACCAGGGAGTAGTACAATACCATAATATTAATGGTATTGTACTACTCCCTGGTTACAACCAACCCGCGAGGCTGAATGACGGTTCAAATGGTTGCAAGACCGGGACTCTGCCAACCGGGTTATGGTTGTAATCAGGAGCACTTGTGCGTCCTCGTCTTGTAACAATTACATGCTGTCGCATTTGCGTTGAGGGCGGCCGTAGCGTTTGATCGATCATCGCTTGAGCGTTTCATGTGTGCGGTGTGCGACGACGACTACGATGACCACGGCGACAACAACAGAACGACTGCCCCCCCTGTGACCTTGGTGATCGGACCTGGCCACCGCTCGCGCTACCTTGGCTTCGGAGAGAGAAGTGCTGCTCTCTAAATCCGATGGCGATGGCGTGAATCAAGCACGCGCCGGGCGTTGTGCAGCCCTACATCGTCGACCTTCGAACACCATGAACACTGAGCTTTGAACCAGGGAGTAGTACAATACCGTTGCACTACTCCCTGCTTTGACCTGGTGCAAGGGCGGAACCCCCCTGGCCCTTCAAGGCAGCTATTCTCAGTCAACGAACAAAGGGAGCCGCCGCTGGATGTGATGGGATAAGTGCAGCGATGCTGAGATCCGCCATGGACATCATCGGAACATGGTTAGCAAACCTCTTCAATGCTGTGCGGATCCTACGCCATTGCCCAAACGATTTGAGATGCGGAGTGCTGGTACCAATTATTTTACAAGCCTGGCAAGCAGATGGGAATACCGAAGAGCTACCGACCCATGATGGGCCATCAGTGCATCACGCTATTATCTGTGGTGAGGAAAGTGCTCACATGTATTCTGAAAGTGAACCGTCGAACGCGGACAGCAGCAGACAGCTACGTAAGCGAGTCTCAAGCCGGATTCAGA